TAAGGGTTCCAGGGTCCCAGCGGCACATACCCACCTAGAAATTCCCAAAGTACCCCCCCCCCCGGGCCTCTCAGCCCGTCATTTTAATGTCACGGAACGCAAAAACTTGGAAATTTCAAATCATGAGGAACCCCGTCGAGCTTGAACGTTGTAAAACGTCAAGTTCTTTTTAGGTCCCATTTATATGGTCTCGAGTACCCGAGACAACCCTCCACCCGAGTTAGCCTGGCCGAGGTAACTTTTAGCTTGTTTCTTTGCAAAATTCAACCATAGTTATTGGTTCAACCAACCGTTTACATCAGGATCGTAAACCCGTCTCGGGGGACGAGTCAACTCGGGTGGGCGAGTTGTCTCGCCTCGGCAGGTAAGGTAACCCTGGCAAGCGGGACAACTTTTCTTCACATAAACACTTTGGTTCGCCAAACCGGGACAACTCTCGGCGTGGCGAGTGTCACATAATGCCTAGATTTAGGATTTAAAGCAGAAATGCATATCAAAGAAGTGAAAATTAACTCGGCAAAACCCACTGTGATCGAATGACCGAGGGAAACTCAAAGAAAAAGGGATATTTGCACATTTGATTATTCAGCAATCATGCGAGGTCAACTTTGACTCGGCCTACAGGGACTACGTTTTCACATATAAACGCTTGATAAAGTTGCCTTGGGTGGAGGGTTGTCTCAGGTACCCGAGAACCATATAACTGGGGCCTTAGAGGGCTTTCTATCTGAGGAAACTAAAACTTCAGAAGGATTAGCTATTTTTTTTTATTTTGGAAAATGATGGCGTCACATGAAAACCGGCACAAGTTGTTTCTAGAGATAAAAACATTAAAAAAAAATTAAAGAGAAAATAAAGTACATGCATCTGTGTAGTTGATCACCGCTGGAGCCAGCACAGTGTTCTACAATGAAGGAGCTGTGTGTGTATGTGTGTATGTATGTACGTAGACATTGGAGATACTGTGTAGCCGTAATTCTATGACAAGGCTACAAAGAACTTCATCTTTCAGATATTTGACCTGTTATCAAATGTGCTATAAAGAAAACTATTGGGAATTAGGAAATACAGTCCAGAACTTTGAATTTACTGAGGGCAAATTCTAGTCACACATTTTAACGTCACATCTTGACGTCATCTGCAATCATTTACTGAACAGACGTAAGGGAAGATGGAAACTATTGAGTAATGCGATATGTAAATAAAGTGGCTCACGCACCCTGGATAAACTTGAATCGAATTCTTACGCGAGCAGGTTAAATTTGAAACAAGCTTCCTGGAGGTGAAACGAGAGGGAACATCTAAAAAAGAAACATTATACTCAACTTTATAGAAACTCTATCACTATCACAGCCAGCTGTATTGGAACATGACTTGGCATAATGATTTATATTTCAAGTTATGTAAGGATCCTTCAGTTCTAAGTGTCAATTCCTAGGCAAGTAAGGCCCCATTAATATGGTCTCAGGTACCCGAGACAACCCTCCCCCCAAGTTACCCTGGCCGAGGTAACAATTCTCGGCGTGGCGAGCGTCACGTAATGCCTAGATTTACGATTTTTAAATAAAATTACTCGGCAATACCCACTGTGATCGAATGACCGAGGGAAACTCGAAGAAAGAGGGCTATTTGTACATTTGAATATTCTTTAAGGATTATGAATAATCATACAGGGTCAACTTTGACTCGGCCTACAGGGACTACGTTTTCACTTGTAAACGCTCGGTAAAGTTGCCTCGGGGGGAGGGTTGTCTCGGATACCCAAGACCATATAACTGGGGCCTAAAATTCATACACCGATCTGTTTGCCGGTAAACAATCCCCTATTGTCCACCAAAACTGGCTGATTTCTGTGCTCGATCTATCTCAGACAGTGTGAAGGATATGGTTTCAAGATTGCGTTTATATTGATGCCTACCCCAAGGCCAAGGAGAAAAATAGTCACGCATACTACTAAAATTAGTGCAAGGCCTTGGTTCTACAATCGCAGACTAAAATATTGGGACACCAAGCAAGTTGCACCCTTCACGCCACTTACAATGATGACATTTTGCAACATTGATCGGGGCAGATGGGGGATATGTCATCCAGCTTAAAGTGGCTCAAAACAGTTTCCAGCACTTTCCAGCACTTTCCAAGACTTTGATTTTGATGAGCCATATTTATAACCACTCCTTATCAGTTGATGGTACAATCAAGGCATCAAAACTCTTCCCAATCATTGGTGAAAATGTTGTTATCATTTTCTTGACACAAAAGGTTACCATAGTAATAGACCTGATAAAAACGCCCCGGTCAACTACTGGCCGCATGTCGTGGAAATTTTAAACTCGTTTTTGTAATGCAGTGGGATGGGTGGAGGGTAATGTCCTATCCGAGCACTCAGTGCGCATACACTTGTAGAGCCACAGTTGCTAAGCAACACGAAGCGTCCTTTTTTTAAAAAAAGTTCAAGTGCATTGTGAACAATTAAAGTAAAACTTACTTTTTGCAAAACAACTATTTGATAAACATCTTTATTGCAATAAAACATCTGCTCTAAAACCTAACTTATGACTCTACATTATACACTGGCTTAAAGAACCTGTTACACTACTCTATGCATTTGCAGCGACTTGACTTTTTGACAATCTTGTCCCCCAGAGCCCATACGTTTTCGGTCAGCAGTGACTGAACACGTGACGTTGTGGACAAAATCAAAAAGCAAAAAATTGCACTTGCGCATATTGGTGGTGCAGCTACTTAAAGGCAAGTAACAGAGTGGCTAGTATTTTCTTACGGCTTTTAAACCAGTATTTCTCTCAAACTTCCACACTGACTAATACTCTGGCATGTACATGTTTTACAGATATTTAAAACATTAAGCTGTGATTAGGCGTTCTTTTGTTTTTGGGGTGGTGGAAGAGGAAAAAATAGGAACGCCTCACCACAAGTTAGTAAAATGCTTTAATAAGCAAATAAGGAGCTAAGTTAGTGAGCATCTTATCCTCTACAGTTTTTGCGACCCTTTTCAGGTGGTTATGTGAGTCACAATAAGTAATTTTTTGTTTTTGCACCTCTGGTGCTTGTTTATACATCATTTTTAGCCCCTCACACCGACAAAACCAGCAGTTACACAGGTTTGAGATTGCGCATATGGTGCTTGCAACTCCCCCTCCCCCCGCCCCCCGTTGAGCACAACACACTTTTTTTTACTATGGTACCCTAGCTGAGAGTTAGATTCCCTTAACCAGGGTTGTCATTAAGTCTTGAGACACCTGTAGCCTTGTTTTCCACACCTGCAGCAAGCTTGTTACTTTGTGGGTGAATTCTACTGACAACAGGTAATTTCACTCATAGCATCAAGGGAAAATCAAGCATTCTCAGGCGTAACAGGTGTTATGGGTTTACAGCCCTGCTTATTATCAATTGACTTATTAGGTTAGGTTACGAAATAAAATGTTTTGTCTTTCCCCTTCGTTGTAATCAAAAGACATTATAACTGTGTACTCTAAAGACAGTAACAACAAAAAAAAGTAGAAGCTGATAACTACTGTAAATTATTATGTCTTTCCATTGCATTTATCATCATAACCAAGCGATGCAGCTAGTTTTTTCCAAAAGTACTGCCTTTCTCTGTCACTGGTGTAATCCAGACGAGTAAAAATTTGTAACTTTCTTGGTATTTCACAAGACTTGTACAAAATTGGAATAAGAATGGTTTTCCTGAGATCTGAAAAAAAACATAATGGAACTTTATTAGCACAGGAAAAAGCATACACCCTGCTTCCTAAATTGCACTACTTTGAATTTTTATGTGGTTTACTGCATACTCAAAAGGCAATGACAACACAATAAAAATACGTTTCTCCATTACATGTACTACTATAAGTATTACCAAGCGAGGTAGCCAGTTTGCCCTAGAATGTCCTCTTAAAAATGTTAGTGCACTGAATAAAACTCAATTAAAACTATAACAAAATTAACAAGTCTGATTGACCATCAGCAGGCCCAAATAGGACAGTATCTGAGCATCCCTGAAGTTTTCATATGGGAGTTTGCCCGAGGGCACTCCAAATGTCAGCTTCACAAACTCACTATGGCAATCTGCATTTACTGCATTGACCTTCAACAACTTCAAGTTGATAAATAGCTACAAGTAAGTATGATGCTACAAATAAAGTCAACCATAAAGGAAAGCTAAAATGTCTGTGTGAGAACAAACCTCGAGACAAATGAAGAGCAAAATTAACCATGTGGTCTGCATCTGGACATCTGTTAAAGCTCTCTGACAATACTACCAGGACTTTTGAACATTGTGTCTCAATGGCTTTAGCTGCAGTATCCGAAAGCTCACGGTAATCAGTGCACACTTTCATGCAATATGGTGGTCGCTCCAATGTTGTAACAATTTCATTGACAAATACTTGATCATCCTTAGCGTAAGCAATGTAAACATCATGGCATTCAGAAACTAAGAAGAACAAAATAAGCACATCAGAAGTAATAGTAAGAAATATTATACAAGTTTCAGGTTGTAAACTGAAAGTGTGAGATAAATATGCAGTTCAACCCTGCTAGTTAGAACTCAACACCGTTTCACTTGGATTTGCCCTTCAGTAAGTAAGATGATTTCCACAGAAGATTCAAGCAATAATGGCAAAAATTAAGTTACCATAAAAACCTCATGGCGTGGTAATATTTTGAATACAGCTTAGAAGAAGAACTTATCGAGACTTAAGCTCTCAACCTGACCCCACGAGAGAAATTTTTTTTTTTTCGCGAGAGAAAATTGAACTTGAAGTTATCCATATTTCAATTAAAACAGACGTTTCGTGTTAGTTAAACACAATAACACATGCTTTAAGCATTCTTATGAGGTTTGACATTAACTTTCTTGAGAATGCTTGAGAATTCAATCGTGGGGTCACTTAGAGAAATGAACTAAAGTGAGTTGTTTTAAATAGAATTCCAAATGTTACCGTGCTATGAATGGATTTTTAGTAAATAAGTTTTGAACTTATTGCTTGAACTTTGAGTGAAATCTATCTTAAAAACTGGCTATTTCAAACTCCTGCTATTTTAAACTATTTTCTACTTCCCCTGAGAGTTCGAAATAGCGGGATTCAACTTTAGTTGGATATTGGCCAAGTTCTTTATCTGCGTGTTTATGGACTGACAAGCAGTCAAGGTCCATGATCAGGAAAAGAAGATCCATATCCAGCCATCTTGACCAAACAAGCTTGGCCAATAAGGGATTTATTGTATGGCATAATGGACACCATGTGAATGGAAGGGTAATCCAAGTGGATAAGCTGGCCCCATCTTGCCCACTCGAGTAGCCAATCACAGTGCAAGACCTGGTTCATCTTGCCTGCTTTTGGAGCTACCCATATGACAAGATGAAATATTATACTGAACTATGCTACAGATCTGTGCCCTAGCTATAGACTGAAAGATTCCAATCCAATCCTGGCCAGTGACTGTGTGCTAATTTGTCATGTGAGGCCCTGGTCCCAGGGAAAATATCTATACCAACCTCACTGAAAATTGCCAGTCAGTGAGAATCTCTAATGCCAAATTATCAAAGGAAAGTTAAGTATGACGCTAAATTGGAATTTCCAGAGAAATGGAGTGTTCAAACCAAAAAGTCTTCCATGGGGAGCACAGATATTTTCTGGAACAGCAATAACATATTCAGCCCCCGAACACAGATGTATGTTGAAAAAATGTGAAATGAGTGAAAAAATGTGAAAAAATGTGAAGTGAGTTACTTACTTGCCTCAGCCTTGGTATCTTCAGCTGAAAGGAATGAGAAGAGCCATATGTAAATAAAATAAAAGTTAAAATATTTATGGAGGAAGCCACATCAGCCTTAGCTGGTTTTCACGCGGGTCTTCTATCCTGGTCATTTTAGAATGAACCTCCTGTAAGCAAACACTTAAAATGTGTTGCTCTATGGTAGTTTATACAGGGAGTCACACCACATTACAGGCAGTTAGTCTCCACTTTAAGTCTTAACCCACAATCATTTCAAATCAAAGGTGCAATCCATACAGAAATGCTTCAGTGAACCAAACAATGCTTATTCAAGAACACATCTAGTGATTTCAAGAGACTCAGTGTGTCTAGCGCAATTTCCAAGTTGCAATACTAACTGTAGAAATAAAATGTCACAATGAACCAACAGTCAAGAACTGGCTATTTTATTTTTATTTTTATCTTGTACTTCACAATACATGTATTGCACTGAAATATTTTCTGTTGTAATCGCATACTGGGCAACTAAACCTCAGTTTTCAACTGCCCCAGTGGTAGCTGGTTTTAATTCGCCACTGGCAACCTGGCAATGGCAACTGCCAGGTTTTAACCCTGCTAGAATCAACCAGTGAACCAATGAACCAAAAGTCACTGGTCAACATAAAAAATGACAAATAAGACAATCTTTGTCATTTTCCACTAATTCATTCACTGGGTTTTGCTTTTAATGATTCTTCCATATCAAAGAACATATTCTTCCAGTCCCTTGGCACTTCTTTAGGCTGGAGTTTCCCTGTATAAGACACTCTTTTACTGAAATATCATTGGTATGACTGAATTATATCTTGGGGGATACAACTGCTATTCACTTCTTCCAAAGCAGCAAGGCTTAATATCTGTTCTACAAAACTGAAACTTTCTCAACCTTGCAAAAGAAGTTGAGACTAAATCAGCCTCATAAAATGTTTAAGACAAGTGTCTTTGAAGAACCATTTGTTTAAAGTTAAAACCTCTTGATCTTGAGCATCCGTTACCTTTGTGGTGCTTAGGCAATATTTAAAAGCTATATGAGGAATTTAAGAAACAGACTTGACATTTTCCATGTTTCTGTCAAGTTATAGAAACACAAATGCAAGTTAACCAGATGTGCTTTGCAACATGAGATACATGCAAGTGTTTTGACAACTTTTTTAAGTTCTCCCTAACTTTTACAAGTGTCTCTACTACTCAATAGAAACAGATGTTTCCTATTTCTTTTACAAAACACTGTGAGAAAAGAAAGGAAAATCACTTTTTTTTATCAATAAAATATATATCATCTCTCCTTGTGCCATCATATTTATGTAAACAGCTCACTATGTGCTTTTCCACATTGGTTTTCTCAGTACGCCCCCTTCCTCAATAGATGCAGTACTACTGTACACATAAGAACACTCCAGGGCTTATTGGCTAAAAGTGGCTGTTAATGGATGCTCTTGTCAAACTCTTGTCCACAGCTGAGGAGACTAGAAACTGATTGTGGAAATAGTAACCTTGGTAATGTCATAGTTTTCATGGAGACTTACCAGCTTCAGTTTGACACTGCTTCCATTCTCGCTGTTTTTCTTCTAACGTAGGTGTTGCTTCTGAAGTCAGAATACAAATTCATTTCATCACTCATCTACTTAACTTCATTTGACCATAAAATGAAGAGAACAGACAAAATACATAGAGGATATTACATGGTAGCATGGAGATATAAATTTTATTTTCAAGTGGTAAAAACAATATGTTTTTCACACAAGAAAACAAAATTCATATCTTCAAGCCACCATGTAATTTTTAGTCATCATCAATATCCTCTCTAGTGAGGTTGTGGAAAATACGCCACTCAGGTCCCAGATGTAGTTTGGTGTGAATTTTGTGAGTGACTGATTCTTAAAGGGCTCAAAAAAAGTGCCATCCCATTGTCCCCGACAAGTAGATTTTCTTTCTGGGCAAGTAACTTTTCATTCTCACTTGCCCGATGTGCAAGAGATCAGGCAAGTCATCTGCCAACTAAAGCATTAAAATTGCAAACTAAGACTTGTCCAGGGCAAGCAAAATTTGAGAGCTACTTGTCCCAAGGGCAAGCTAGAATTCATTTTTTTTTTTTTCAAGCCCTGAGTCTTAGTTATGGTCAGTCCACCGTAGGAAAAAAGATGGCGGCTGCACATTTTACCACAATGCCCTGCGAGCCTAACACAGCCTATAAGGCACAAAGAAAGCCAATTTTTTTTACAATATTCGTTCCTATTCCAAGGACATTAAGTAGCCTAGGTTTGAAGATTTTATAACGTTTCTGTACGTTTTTATGAACGTTGTTAAGGTTTTCGTGCACTTAGAACTATGGGTAAATGTACCAGTCGCCATCTTTTTCCCTACGGAGGATTGGAGGACAGTTGCATTGATGACAGTATTAGCAAATTTTTTGTTTCCTTATTATACAAAACAGATAGGTTCTATGTTGGCATGCGTCTGTTCGGTAACTGATCACAGAAGACGCTAAAATGTGGTAAGACCATCAGTGACACACTTGGCTATTGCCTTGCATGATTTGTGATCTATTACTGAACAAACACATGGCAACACGGTGTCTATTAGTTAAATAAATGACGCAGCATTTTGGATATTTTCAAACCAGTTAAATTTTGTCTGCATAATTTCAAATTGTGAGTGTTGATAAGGTGAACCTGAACACTATTTAGGATATCCAGTGAGCTTAAAGGTCTTTCTGGCTCTCAGTGATGGTAAAACTGCAGCATGATATATGTTCTTTACCTGTTACCCATTACCCATTATGTGACACCTATTGCCAGATAACCTGTAAAAATGTAATTATTTGCCAATTTTGCACCCAAAGCAACAGTTTTATATAATGGCTTACTCTGTGTAAATGTCTGCAATGGGTGCCTGCCAATCTATCAAGCTTACCGACTCGTGAAGTAAATTGAATATTCTAGATGAAGCTTACTACGAAAGCAAACTGCAAACATTTGTACAAAAAACAAGTTATTACTAAACTGCACAATAACAACGAGAGGTGTTTAAATAACATACCTTTCGTATTAAACAAAGCTTATCTATTCGATCAGCTAGACTTCACGTTTGTGAGCGGTTGTGTCAGACAAAGCTCATATCGTAATCAAAAGAACACAGAACTAACATTGTAAGATACAAAATTAAGCTCACAAACAAGAGGATTACCTACGAATTTTTTAAGGTCCTCAATCACATCGAATCTCTCCATCTCTTCTAAAAGGGATAATAGCTCTGAGATGGTCTTTCCTTTGCTTTCATAACTGCTTATTAATTCAAGTACCGGTTCTCTTCTGCATTCGAAGTACAAAATCTCCTCACGAGGGAAGCCCATCTTGTCTGCCAATGTCTTCCAGTCACGGCCACGGTTGGAAGGAAGGAGAAGCACTTGCATTCTAAAATGAGCTTCATGGCTTAAGTCTCTCACTAACTTTTCGCTCATGATTCCTTATTAGAGATTCGAGTTAGCAAAGGAAAAAATCACATCATTTGTTGTGCAGGTCCAACTTCGCGAATGGCAATATGGCCGCCTCGACAGGCGCACGTGACTGCTTGGGGAGAACCGGAAGTTCGAAATTCAACTTCCTGAACTACCAGAAATTCCTGGGGAGATAAGTAATTTTTAGGCTAAAAATAAGGGAAAAGGCTCCTGAAAATGCCTCATAAGAACCTCTCCCTCTCCCACATTCTTAGAAGTAGCTATAGAAATGTATATACCTCCATAAATAATACAGTTATATTTGTAAACCCTTCTTGTGTATATTGGTCATTTCACTCTCGACTTCCTGTCTTTTAATATACACGGTTCGAGAGCCGAATTTTGCAATCTCTTATTGATGCCCCTCTATAACAACACTCCCCGGTAACCTCCATTCATTGCCAGCTTCTTGTGGAATAAATTGTTGTAAAGAGAGTTTTGAATTTCGTGACATATATGCTTGACCATAACAGGATCCCATTCATCACTTTATAGTAAATGTAAATCCAGGTGGAGAAATTTAATTGCAATGCCGTAAAATTTCGATTATCGTTCACCTCCAATCCTAACCCACTCTCTGCTACCCCCCACTCAGTCCACCCTGCCCGAAATTTCGGTTTCAGGAGAAAATGGTCAACGTTATTTGGTTCACCCAACTGGAAAATTCCCGCAAAACAGGGAACTTATATCTTCTATTTTTTGAAAGTTCCGTGTCTTTAGGAAATTTTCTAGTGGTGCGTATCCAAGAACGTTTACTACTTTCCTCAGAACCGATTTTGTTGGAGCGTTTGACTAAATGGAAAGCGTCCTAAGAGTCAACCTTGTATCATGTCATTCGGCCTTTTTAGTGCAGAGTGCACTATTGGGATGGTTTAGGGGTTGACGTCCGCTTAAGTACTATGGCAATAAGGTGTAAACTTTAATTTTTGTACAATTAATTAATTGGCCTTGCAGGAAGGAAGTAGAGTGGGTGGGGGTAGGTACTTGTGAGCACTACGGGAGTAGGGTGGGGTGGGGGTAGGTACTTGTGAACACTACGTAATTATACTTGCGTCACTTCGTTGATAACTTAATAAAGCTATATATTTGTTTCAGAAAATCCCTTGCGCTCCTTGTGGTACTTTTCTCTTTAGAGCAAAACCAATATTCGCTCTAAACGTATGAGCAGATTAATATGCGTTAGTGTCAACTACATATTAGGTAGAAGATACATTTCATACAAGATCACACACTAACGTTGAGCACTTTACTTTGTGGCAGAACCCTAACATGTCATACACATGCGTTCTAGCGTCGTTAGCATAATACAAGAGAGTTAATGTGACATCTCTTTTGGAATTACGCCTAACTTGGTTCAAGAAATATCATCTGTTGTTTCCAAACTACGCTAGTGCGTTTATCTCAACCCTTGTCTCTATCAAAGAGACCAAAAAGTTCATAACCGAGCCGAAACTTTCCCGATGGCATTAAAAATTGTACAAAAAAATATATATATAACTGTTCAAATATTGCTGCAGACTTCGTGGCACCTAGACTGAAAGCGTAAATTAATTTAATTAGTCTTTGAGAGACTCGTTCAAAAATGAAGGATTTAATCTCGGTCAAGTAGCGCTACTTCTCGTTGAATCGCTGCTCAGTTGTATTAATCGATGTCAGGGTGTATTAAATTTATAAGTGGGTTTATTTCCCTTCGCTTTTCTCCTCTTTCCCACTTCCCTCCTCTTAAGGCCAGATGTTCAGGTTACCCCAGGGCGAATTTTTCCAACTCTTCGTATAAGAAATCTTATCGGTACCATATTGGTATCAGTCACATCGAAACTTCATCCAAGCTGCAACAAACGATAAGTATGATTTATGATGGACAAGACAGGCATCCTAGGGAGTCTCCTAGGGAGGTGGAAAGCAAGTGTGTTAATCAGGTTAATAGATAAAATGTACGAGCTTATGATCGATACACTGCAGGTCATAACGAGGTGTTCTTATGAAGTGATCAGGTGAGTGAGAGCTCTGATCCTCGTTATCCAGGAAATGAAACAAAACTGTATGGTCAAATCTCTCTTTCAAGCATGTTCCTTTGTCCTTTTCAAACTCATCAAGTTCAAACAAAGGAAAAAATGACCGTGATAGTGTTTGGATATCTGATCTCAAATGGCAGAGATTTTTACGATTTTATTTCTCTATTTTATCTAAATTTATAGCTTCCATTCAGAACATGTATAAAACACTCAAGACAGTGTTTGACCACATTTCCAAACACCTCGAAATTCGTCAAAAATGCTCCGCTACGTGTCGTATTTTCCACCCTCCTCTCGGTGTTTGGAAATGCGGTCAAACATCTCGGTCTAGAATCGTGGTCTTACTCAAATTTAGAACGAAGAACTCGCAAACAATGATATCCAAATCCAGCGGTAAAGGATTTTTTTTAAGGCAACGTTTTATCTCTTCTAAAGACAATACCCCTTGTACGTTCCCATCACTTAAATATGAGTAGACCCACCCACCCCCCACCCCCCCCCGGATAAAGACGAACTCAAAGAACGGCTTGTAATATGTTACACTGTATTTCATCAATCTTCTTCTTGCGATACACACAAATTATCTAAATAATGCCACAAATAAATAATCGAGTACCGTCCTTTTGTAATTTTACCTATCTTTGTCACGAAGTACAAAAAAAAAAACTGATTGAAAGCTTCTTACTGTGCTGGCACATAACTTAAGGCAAAAACGAAGCAGTACTGACAGAGAAAAACGTTCCTTGTTCATTTAAGGTTCATCGCCAGCATTTTAATTTTTTCAAAGATTTCAGCCTCCTTTTCATCGATGAAAATAATAAACGTGAATGCCAGTTTCTGGAATAACATGTCTCCTCTCATTGGTCGTTATCCGTATATCTGGTTTCCGACGAATGTCTGGCGCGCCTTCGGGAAACTGCTCGTGAAATCGTCGACGAGCTTCGGTTTTACTCCAGCTGTTCTGCAAATTGAGAAGCGCTGTACTCGGCCTGGTCTCTCCGAGCTTGGCTGATCGAAACCACTTCGGGTACAAGTCGCTATTGGTCGAGCCTGTCTTCGCCTGATCGGAAACTTGGCTTGGCATGTTATTCACTATGGGAGATGGAGGTCGCTTGGTAACCTCAGGTGCCGTAACAGGTCTGGATAGCTCACTGAAATGTTTTGAATTCATGTGATTAGTGATGGATGAATAGTACAAGTGTGGATGAGCGAGGGTGAAAGCGTGCACATCAGAATACTCGCCGCTCGGATGGATCAAGTTGTTCTGCAAGTATCCATTGCTATATTTAGGACCCGTGGTCAAATCTAAGAGTTCTCCACTCACAAAGCAATTGCCATGAGTTTTCTTGATAGACTTTTCCCTGGAATCTTCTTCTCCTTCGTCCTCGCTGTCTGTCAGCCACAGTTCCGTACCATGTCCCACAATCACCTTTTTCTTTTTTTTTGTTTTCTTTCTTACTTCAGTGTGCCGTCCCTCCAGTGGCCGCGGGGACTCGAACTCATTCTTGAAATGTTCTTTCTGTAAAAGAAAAAAAAAAAAAACCCAAAAATGACTGCCAGAGAAGAAGGGCCCGGATGGCATTAAAAAGATATTTCGGCTGAACGCTGCTCCTTGGACAGAAATATTTCAGAAAGCAAGGAGAGTTTGGGTAGCATAAAGGTTGAGTCATCCTTGGAATAAGGATGGAGAGTTCTGGGATCAATCTCGTTTAAAAACAAGACACTCACACGACTGGTTGCACTCTTCTGCGCATTTGGAGCGATGTGACTTTTGGACCGACGGCACAAGGAACGTAAGCCCTTCTTTTTACCACCATACACTTACCAGTGTGTCGTCCTCCCCCCTGCAGATCTCGTCAAAGTTGTCCAGTTTAAGAATGTTTTGCGGTCCGTTGCCGGTGAACTGTTCTTGGTAATGCGTCTGCCAGTAGCTCCGCTGTACATTATACAAGGCGTTGGCCGTCCGGGGGGTCACTGCCAGCGACGAATCTCTGTTAGGGGTGTTGGGCACGACCGACGTGGGAGGAGTGGGGTAGTAGTTTTGTCTCTGTAAGTTCGGGCCCTTTACCAGCTTTGGAACGAGAAAGAAAAGAACAAGAAATAAATGATCATCACTGTCTTCCGTTTAAACAAACTGAACTGATCTCAAGGGAGCGGTATCGGGATTGCAACATGACCTCCTAAAGTCAAAACCTAAAAGAGATATGATCATTGTTGGAAACATAAATAGAATGGTTCAGTTTCGTTAAAAATTACTATCTCAGTGAAATGAATAACGAAGCGCGCGAAGTCTAAAAATAAAATGCAAATTATTGAAACCCGCGAGAGTCAGACAACATAAGCATGCTCTGAGAGAAAGAGGAGGTAAATGAACGCCAAATTTTTGCTTTAAAAATTGTTTTAGGAACACTTGCTTAAGCGCTTGAAAAAAGCTTCAAAGCTTCCACCATTCCATTTTGTTTGTCTGAGTTTGTCTGAGTTATGACGTCACTCGCCCTATGGTCACTTGTTCCCCACTGACCATGTGGCTCAACTGCACACAGTCAGGCACAAAAATCATCACCTGCTGCCAAAACGAAATTGTCCGGTTCTTGTTTTTTATTGCAGTTTCAGTGTGTTGATATTACCTGAAGAAGGTTATGTTCCGGCCAAACCAAAGGCTTCCTTTCTGACTCTCTCTGTACCGACACCATTTCCCTCCGGTCAAAATGGCCCTTGGTTTTCTCAAGTACGCTTGGATCTGGAGCCGAGGCTGGGGCTGTGGGGGGTAGGGTGGGTTGAAGCATGACAGCTTGTTTTCCTTTCCTGATGTCATCCGGGGACTCGAGTGAAGGAAACACTTGGAACTTAGGCATGTGTGAGGTATAAGGATGCTCTGATGGGAATCCCAAAGGGATTTGAATTTTCCTGGAGGTGGAAAAATATCAGACAATGATCACATAAAAGGCCATTTTCGAGTTGCTTTTTGCCTCTGTGTCAAAACGAGTATTTTCATGCAAATCAAACTCGTCGAATCAGAGCTATGATTGATGGCAATATAGACCATGAAAGTGACGTGACTGTGACGAAAAGGCAGCTGACGCAGAGCTTTAAAAACTGTCGTATTTTTTTTTCCAATGAAGCCAAATCATCGAATTGTGAAATAGGAATTATAACATTTGGGACGAAGTTTTGGATGAGCTCGTCGGTCTCACACGAAAAGAGTGATTTCACCAACTGTCGTGCCTGCAGGCAATCTCTAATTCGCAGGTGAATTTTCGCTGCTGAAGAAAAACAACAAATCGACCACTTTTTCCCTTGGTATACACATTAATAGGACATAGAAATGGCGTCATAAAATGATCGGAACGCTTTAAAAAAATACTAAATTTAGCCTTAGCTGGGTTTCATACGGGTCCTCTATCCTGATGGAATAGGAATTTGGAGTGTTGGTTTTTGCGGAGGAAGGAAAACCAGAAAACGGGGAAAATACCCTCGGAGCAAGGCGAGAACCAACGACAAACTCAACCCACATATGGCACCGGGCCGGAATCGAACCCGAGCCACACTGGTGGGAGGCGAGCGCTCTCACCACTGTGCCATCCCAACTCCCCAGTACCACTGGAACCACTGGCTCGCTGTTGGTGGTTCCACTTGAGTCTTGAAAATTTTATGAAGTCACTTCTATAAGAGTGTGGACCGTGGGAAAATTTGGTTATTTCTTTCATTGACTTACCCCATTTCCGACTTCTCTGGACTTGGAACCCTGCAAAGCACAAATGCGATATGCTGTTTCGTTAGATCCCAAGCAGATGCTTTTATGATATTGGGTGTAAAAAGTGGATTTCCATTGTAGCGTTTTTACGAGCGTCAACGGGCGTGAAATTTTATGGCATGGTCTGCGCAAAAAATTAAACGTGGTTCACCTTTTTTTTAGCAGACGCAAGTTTTACATTCATTTATTCTATTTTATTTTACGAAAGTTAAGCCATGAAACTCCACGCCCGTTTACCCGCGTTAAATAACGCGGCGACAGTTGAAATCCCGCTAAAAAGAAAATAAAACGCCTATTTCATGAACACTTTTTGTCCAGTTTATAATCCTCCGCACAATTACTTATACGAATGGAGCTTCAGCGACTTGTCGTACCGTACTCCGGCTAAGTATAACCAATCAGAGAGACGGGTGGTGACGTCAATTCTTATCACGTGCCCACATTCTCGTCCCCAGAGCCACCCTGTATCTTTAAGCTGGCGGGGCCTTGGCACGAGGAAAAGATTGCTCTGGAGACATGTATTGATCAGTTAAATCATTCCATTCTCCAAAAAATCGACCGCCTTATCTCTTACTAAAACCATCCGATTGGAACAGCTACAGAATTTAAGCAGATCTTTGCGTATTACAGACCTTTATGTATAGTTCTGGTTCTGGCCAATTAAATTCAGATCACTTCACTGAAAATTCTCCTAGTATTCTTGAAGATCTGTTGGTGTTGTATACCAACGGTTTTAGGTAGAGATCAACCGGTAAATATTGTCAGAAAGGAACTACCGTCGAATCAGTGAAAATCCTAATCAAATCATGTGTCTCCAGAGCCAGCTTTTCCTCGTGCCAAGGCCACGCCGGCGAAAAGGGACAAAACGCTCTGAGGACGAGGATAATCACGTGGAATAATTGAATATTTCACTGCAAAACATTGAAATGAATTGGTTTCTCTCATTGAATCATTCACCAGTTGGCAGCTGGCCAGGTGGAAGAAATTTTAATATTGAATATATTTTTACTTTCTTATTTATAACTGCGGTTGTATTTACACACAGTTGCAAACATAAATTATCTGCAACTAATACCACTAATTCTAACGAAAACCAGTAGCATAACGTAACCACGTCACCTCAAATTTATTCTATACAGCTTGGTTTAAAATCTTTCCCTGGTATTCCCACGTTACTTCCTTAGATTGAGCAGTTTTCCAAAGTCCGAGGAATAGAAAGCAAGGAAAATAATGAATTTTATTTCTACGGACCACCAGTTTGTCAACACGACCAAAATGCAAATGTATTCTTCCAGACTTGTAGAAGGCACTAGAAACCGCGGTAAACCGATTCAGAAACACCTTGTAAACAAAATTGTCATAGTAAAGAAAGAAGGGATGACAAAATCCGTCTTTGAAACATTTCGTTGACAAGAACGTCAAAAGGGTATCAAACGCTGCCAAGTAATAATTAGCAAAATCAAACTATTTTTTTTATGAACACATGGCATAAAAACACAAAAGTAATGCTGGCGTAATTTGCATTTCTAAAGGTTCAGTACAAGGCATAAAGAACCTCAATGAGTTTTCATTACAGCCTATTGTCTCCTGTCTAACAAATTATTCTTGGACTTCACTGTTTATTGCGGCAGAATCTCAAGAAATATTACTATTCATCGAAGTATTCAATCTTCAAAACTTAACGTTGTTTAAGAGATTCATTTAGTAGGCCACTTGTTTGTGTGACATTTAGTAAATACGTGTTTAAGTTGTGTGACAAAAGTAACGGTCACGTTTGACTTTTCAGATCTTTTGTACGGGTGGTGATGGAAATACGAGCTTCATACATGATTGAAAATCCATGAAATTTGAGCACATGGAACCGGGCAAATGCAACGCGAGCTATCTACAGGATAACAACATCACAACGCTCACGAAAATAACACAACTCTCGTGACTTTTGCGTTATATGGCAAACTAGTCATATTCGTCTCTCGTGAACGTTACTATGGTAACCCTCTTCAAAAGACCAACCAGAAGACATGCAGCGGAGCGAATCTACGTGTCGCTAATATTCAGGGAGTGCCTCGCTGTCGAGATCTGACTGGAACGGTGATTTTAGCACGCAAGTGCACTCCTCCAAACATGGCGGCGAACTCGGAAGAATCAAGCCACGATCTTTACGCGGTACAGCTCTATGACAAAGAGTATTTGAGGCCGCGCACGACCGATGTTCATGGCTTACACTTACCAGACAAGCAAACGTTTTCGATCCACGTCGATCCGAACATGCTGGACGACAATAAAGAATATTCAGTCCCCAAGCGTCTGGAACACCTCGAGAAACGACTGCATGGAGGAAAGAGCAGGGAAAAGCGAGGCACCTTCCGCAAGGAAAACCTACTGCTGGTCGATCTGGAGAGAACGACGGCCCTCAAGGAGCTAATCACCGGAGAAATACCTGTATTCGCCCTGAAAACTTTCAAAGAAAAGGGCGAGAAACGATACATGGAGTTTTCACTCAGCAAAAGTGCTTCTGATGACCTGAGACAGAGGGATCAGCAGAGAAGGCTGGAAGCCGCTATGAAAATCGCTTTCGCTAACTACCTGCACTGGAGCCGCGTGTTTGAAGAGATCGAAAGCAAAAGCGAGAGGACCGCGTTTGAACAAGCGCGTCATGAAGACCTGGAGGACTACCTTCGCAATCCGCTCGAGTGCAAGGGCGTCGTGTATTGCTACCTTGTGATAGACGAATCGCAAACAGATGACAAGAAATACCAATTCTACATCGGCGGGGCAGAAGGCGAATTCACGAGGAAGATCAAGGAACATAACACATCCGGAAACAAGCCGCTATTGGAGCTGACCCTACAAGACAAGGCGCTCTGGCCTGTGGAAGATCAACACCTCAAGAGAAAATTTAAAGAATCACTGCCGAAATCCTCCGGCAAGAAAGGAGATAAACAAGACGACGACCATGTGCCGAAGCTAGACTACGAACCGAAAGTTGTGGTGATCACTTTGGACTTTGGCTACACGGAGAGCTTTGCCGAAGATTTCAAGAGCCTCATCGACAGCGAAGACACAACGGAGAAGCTGGCACAAAGTTATGCACAGTACTTCGCCGCAAAGAGTCCGATTGGACTGAATGGCTGACTCTCACTAACCATGTGATTACCAGTTGTAGTAAGTTAAATTAAATAATGCACGAGGATTTTTTATCATTGCTTAAGAACAATGTGGAATTGTCATTAACCCTACGCAGAGGACAGCTTGTTGTTCTTGACAAATGTTGATAGCAGTTAGTGGCGTGAATTGAGTTCGAGTTAGATTATCTGTGCGGTTCTTGTATTCTTTACAGATCTGATGTTTGTAGCATTTAGTGATAACCCCACACACTTGGTATTCAAAGTGGTGTTATCAGGGATGCTTCTAGCTCATTCCAGTCATTTCATTGAATCGAAAACGTTCCGCAAAGGCCGAAAACAAAACCACTGACTTGGGTGTGTGTTTTAAATGAGCAGTGAGTTGTGAATGCAATGTGAACGAGTGAGATGTAGAAAGTATACTTGTCATTCAAATCGCAGTCTCGTAGAAGCTACACAAAAGAGCGAGATCTTTGTGCCGGCGTTAAATAAATCATAGATAAATAAAACGAAATTGGTCCGAGGTTGTTAAAAATCGGCGATATAAGGGCAATATATTTCGCGAGAAGTCGTTTTTAAGTCTGACTACCTGAAGCCATTTTCTTCGCAATTCAAACAAGTTACAAGATATTTTTGGCGTTTAGAGATTTGTTAAGGTCCCAGAGGGGCGAGCGTTTAGTTCAATGCGTGACAAAAGAAATTTCAACTGTCGTCACTTTTTTATCGCGGCGTGTTGGAATTGAGTGTTACTGGAAACGTTACCCCGCTTTGCTCGTTATTATGCATGTAAACAGTTGGAGCGAAAGCAATTGATATCATAAACGGTGTTTTAGTGTGTAAACTCTCTCGCTTATCGCCCAACAATGCCGTACAAACTAGACTATCGACGACAAAGGACTTTCGAAGCCTCAATTATAATACAGAGTCGAACTTCATAAACTGAAAAAAACCACACACGATAACCATAGCATTCTAAATGTTTTGCATTGATTTCGTCCATCGTAACTACATATTACCGCGACTAAATGCACCGTGGCAATATCTTAAACTGTTGTGGTAAGGCCCTGTGTGATTCCTAAATCGCATTAGTTAAATTAAAGACTTCCAAATGACTCGTGAATCCGTTTAGCACCCTATTCTTCAAGTTCCGTTTTCCTTTACTGCCCTGAGGAGGGTGTCTTGCAGAAGCCACTAAAATGCAAATTCGCAATATTTTGAAATCGCTACATGTAAACATAACATCCGCCTCCTTTGTTTTCTTGCCGTCGAATCCTGCCCTTTTACTAGTAATTAGACATCTGATTGTTTTGCGCAAGTCAGCCTTTAGCCTTTAGTGACTAATGTTAGAAAATATTCATGGTTCGCTCACTCTATTTGATCTCAATTGTACCGCATTTGCAGAAAATACTGCGCAAAAAGCAAAGAAAAAAGATAATTGTTAAAAAAAAAATACTAAACGATATTTTTACGAGCATGATTTTCCCTTCATTACCGTCGCATTGAACGGGAGAGGCGGAATCAATTTGAATACTTAATTTACTTGAGAGGAAAATTCGAGAAAATCGAACTCCAATTCGAGTGAAAAGTTTTGTGGGTTTAGCCACAGTTACCACTAATTTACCACAAGATGCTGTACTTACAATTCATCGTTTGTTCGCAGGTTACTCTTCTTTAATAAAGTAAGGTCGTAATACTGCTCAATAGGAATACCACTGAAAGACAATAATAGACTGCCATTAATACAAGGAAAGACAGACTCGAAAAACAGGAAGAATTGTAGAGTGGAAATCAGCCAATACTGCTGAACGCAGTGTTTGTTTTTCCAAGCTGAGGTTGTTTTTTAACCTGAAAAAAACACATTTCAACTATTTTATCTTATCTTGAAGGGTTTCATTTCTTTCTGTCTCTCGTGGAGAAAACAATGAGGATGACAAAAGAAGGTTTTTAATTTGTTTTTATATGCAAGAATAATCCCAGAGGAAAGGGGTGAAATTTTACATGAATGTGTGAGGAACGGCATTGAGAGAAAGTATTCACAGGCGCGCGAATGATACGTTGGTTTACATGACAAGGAAATCATGTTTTTTTTGCGAGTCCATCGTTTTGCACCAGGAAACTAGTTTTTCTCCTTACCTCTCGCTCTTAACGCCTACACGTTGCAGTTCCCTTAAAACAATTCATGGTGTCACAAGATTTTTGACAGCCTTAGGGTTGGGAAAAAATATTTTGTAAAAATGTTCATGCGGTTTGAGCAGGTTTCAGTTGTGTTGACAGTTCGAGGGTGACAACAATAAGCCGACATTATTGTTTTTGGCGTGTTAGATTTATCACATGTGCAAGTTACGGAAACTTGCCTGAACGAAATGTAAAACAATAACAATATTGGATGAAGACAAAATAATATAACCCACGTGGTACATTATTTTTTCTTGAAAATATTTCGGAAATTCAGAAAGTTTGCTACTTAATTTTCCAAGGTATTTAGACTAGCCACCTCGAAAACCTGGTAGAGTAGTCGTTCTTTTCGAGGCCGGCCCACACTAGGGGAAATGTTGCGAGGACATGAGAAGGGGAAATATTCCAACGACAATTGTCTTCATGTGAGATGCTCGTTTTTGCAGAAAGGTTGTGTTGCGAGGACAAAATTGTGTACTCGCAACATTTTGCATGAATTTCAGCTGCAGGGACAAAATGACCTCAATTTTCAATATTGTATCATGTACACTGCCCTTCCAAACTGTCCCCGTTACAACATAGAAATGAACCAATATCCGCTTCGTGTACGCCATCTTGCGTGCTGTCTCTGCACCACGCATGGATCCCAGGCGTATACATGAAGGAGCTCGTCCCCTCTTCACCTCCCCGCAACATGTGTCCTAGTGTGTGGAGTTCCGTCGTAGCCAGAACGCGAAAAAGCTGTTCGTTTCGTACATTAAAAATCGTCACTGCAATAGATCTTTCACAGATCTTTTTTCGTAATTTTCTTCAAGTTTTCTCCGTCCTAGTTACTGTGTATTCAAGAAAACGTTTTAAACCTAAGTTAAATTCTTCTTTAAGTTAAAAACTGTAAGAAAATCGAGGTGTGACTGTCTTATTGACAGCTTATGAGAAAAGATTTGAATAAACTAAACTTGAACTGAACTAGGTGTGTTTCTGTTCCATTGACAGAAAACGCAAGCAAGAGGGTAAAAAAGCCGCGCGAAGATTGGATCAGAGACTAGGAGCGATTTGCTTGTCATTTTTCCGCTTGTTCTTTTCTAACTAGTTTAATTTGATTTCTTCTTGTCGTGACTTCATTACACGTCTGCCTGTTGCTACTGCACCGCAAACTCCCATAAACAACACAGTCTTGTCGGTGGTAAACTTCTCAGTAATCACGATTTTCAAAAAGCTAAATGCGCGCGTGGAAGCAAGCCAAGGGCCTGATTACATGGCGAATTTCAGCCCAGGCTGAAATTTCAGCCCGACTAAGGGCCTGATTACATGGCGAATTTCAGCCCGGGCTGAAATCTCAGCCTGGCTTGGGGGGCTGAAATTTTGTTGCGAATACATAATGAATTTCAGCCCGGGCTGAAATATTAGCCTCGGGGCCAAATATGAAATTGTGTGCGAAAAGTCTCCAGAGAATCAAAATGGCGCCGAGAACACGAATCGTGAAAATAGGCGCATTGCTTNAATTTTGTTGCGATTACATAACGAATTTCAGCCCGGGCTGAAATATTAGCCTCGGCGGCAAATATGAAATAGTGTGCGAAAAGTCTCCAGAGAATCAAAATGGTGCCGAGAACACGAATCGTGAAAATAGGCGCATTGCTTTTCGCGTAGTTTGACCTTTTGTTGGCGCTCAATTTTTAACTTTTTAGGATAGTAACCCCCCACAATGATGATGGAACTGAAACGAAACCCGTCTCTTAGCCAGAAAGACGTACTTGCAAAGACAGAAAATATGTCCCCAAGCTTGCCGAGTTCATGGCCTCCCTGACAGCGTCGTGCTGTTTAACCTTGTCTCGATGTTCTTATATTCCATCTAAGGTTTAAAATTAGAGAGATTCTTTTTTTTATCGCCTTTATTCCACTGCGAACGCTTCTACTTCGTAGCGGCAGCCATCTCATTTCCTGCTTTTCAGCCCGGGCTGAAATTCCGTTTCGATTACATGGGATTTTTTCAAACTTTTTAACCCGTTTGCCCGGGCTGAATCCTTCCCCATGTAATCGCCAATTTGATTTCATGAGAATTTGTTTCAGAAGCCGGGCTGAAATTCGCCATGTAATCAGGCCCGAAGAGACCATGATCTCGTCTCTTGATGAAGGATAATATATTTTTTTGGCGGTTCCATTTCCTGTTTTTCGTGCTAAGAATCTATTTATGCAAATGTTTTTGGAAGGGAAAGCCTACCCGTTTCCGCAAACCCGAATTTTTCTCTTTGAATACACACCGCCAAATGTTCTGCCCCTAACCCCCTAACTTAACACAGTGGTTTAAAGGAATGGTTAGTACTTACCCGACAACGTTTGGCAACTCATTCCCGCAAACAGTGGACTGGTTTATCACGCTTTGAGATGCACTTCTCAGAACTGAATTTTAGCCTTGTGTTGATGGAATACCATTTTTGTAAGCTCCGCATGTCGTTGTCAGAATTTCGTCCAACGATTGACGTAAGTAGCTTAGATACACTGAGCAAGAATTTCTCAGGTGCTTTTTCTAAGTGTCAATTGAAGACCGATGAAAATTTCACAACAGATAAAAATTCTTCGTTCAATTAAGATTTCTCGACCGATCAAAAACGACACGAAGAACTGAAGCGCTCAAAGCAGAAGTTTCTCAGGTATTGGTTGTTAACAATTGGACGAACAAGGGGGAGGGTGCAAGGGTGATTAACCCCTCGGATTTTTTTTTCGCACTTCGTAGCGGACAGGGTCCCGGTAAATTACAGAAATGTCTCTTTCCTGATTTCCGTGTTATATTGCCATTTCCTACTAACTATACGAATAAATTGGATGAAAATCTTCTGTAGAACAAAATAGAACAAGTATTTTGAGGGAGAGGTACAAGATTACACGGATGGAAATGGATTACAGTTCATCAAATTTGACTGTCACAGGATGCCAAGGAATCTAAATTGCCATTCTGGTGAAATTTTGATTTTTTTCAGTAATTTTCTTTTTCTTTTTATTTGGTCTTTCATTCTTTTCAACAGATTTGGTAGGTTTTTTTTGTTTTGTTTTTGTTTTTTTGTTTTGTTTTGTTTTTTTTTTTCATTCCATTGCACGATTATAAAGCATGTTTACAGCAAGCTTCCCGCCATACTCATTAGAACACGACATATCAGCCGAACACTGTCCCTTCAATATTGTGAGGATTTGTCACCAAAACCCTACCTTGAAATGCTGGTAAATCAAGAAAGGCCTCGCTTCGTGTTCTAACATCACATAATTTTGCTTACCGTGGAAATGGCATCACACCCCCTCCATAGTGCCTGTGTCCCTTCTGTACCCGGGTGGGGGGCTCCTGCTTGGGCCGATACTCCTTGGGTAGCTGAATGGGACCGAAGCCACCATAGCTTAGACTGCGGCCCCATGGCACCTTCGGTGACCTGTTCGTCTGTGACAGATAACGGTCGAAGCTGTTGGCGGAGAAGAAAAGAGTTTGAAGAATGAACAAATAAAACGTGTTGGGTATACAGGGCAAGGCGTGGACCGAAGACTCTCTCTGAGAAAAAATCTCTTGTTAAAATGTCAAGTAGAAACTGAATGTCACGTTTTTCACGCCTTGTTAAAAGAGCTCCTGAGGTCTTGCTAGTATCACACCCTCTGGAAGTGACTGCTGTAGGTCCCCTTGTTTGGTAGTAGACCTGACTCGAGAGAGCGGCCCAAATCGAGCCTGGTAATAGTAATGGTAGTAATAGTAATAATTTATTTAAGGTCGAAAACGTGGGAGGTGTTTGCACAATCTTCCGAGCCAGAGGCTCATGTTGAAAACGCTCGACAACAAATAAATAGGATCTAAGAACTAATTACAAAAATGAGGTATTAAAATGCTCGTAAAAACTCTAAATACTAATCCTCTAAAGAGATAAAAAGCAGGAGTTACAAGTACACCCTTAAAATTCCGCTATATCGCTAAAGCATTTACGAAAACGAGCAACGGTCTCACATTGTTTAACACAGTTCGGCAAATTGTTCCAACAGTGTGAAACAATATAAGAAAATGAATTATGTAGATAACGACTATTATACGAAAATTGCTGTACTATTAGATCTTAAATTATAGTGTATGATGCGTGGCTTAAAAAATTAGAGATGTATGAAGGAGCGAGACCATTAGATGTAATTTATTTTTCATTTATTGTACCAAACAGCCTGGTTGTTTGGTGATTACTGAAAAACCAGAACAACAAATAAAAAAACGAACTATTTATTTACTGATCAACAGCTACATTAAGAACAAAGAGATGAATTCTTATGATTGACCTGTTTGATACACGTGTTCACAAAATATGCGAAACTTTATTTTTTCAAACTCAATGTGTGAACACATGAATTTGTCAATCTAGTTCAGTTTAGTCTAGTTTCAGTTTTCTCATCTCTTTTCCTTGACATCTTGGAGTATTTTGTTCAGGTAACATATCTCAACAGTTGGATAGAGCCTGGCAATCAATTTGGCTAACCAACTGTGCGAATGAACCTGGTAACGTGACAACTAATCATTCAAGAGTAGTGTGACTCATAATCACGTCGTCATTTACCTGCGTGACAGGCCCTGAAAACAATTTTCGCCTTGTGCTTGTACACAGGCCGAGAGATAATTCTGCTGAAAACCCTGCACATACTGATAGGACACTCATAAAAGCGTTCGTCACAACAACAAAACTTGTCAACTAAAGGAACTGTCACGCACAAGAAACATCTGCGACAGCGAGGCGTGTATTTGCCAATTAGGTCCAATTGAATAGACCACCTGTTCACACAGCCGGCCAAGAAAACAGAAAACCATTTGAACGCATCAGCTTCTGAAGTAAATCTGCAGAGCTCTTAAAACTAACAGCTGACATCAAGTAAAGAAAAATATGTCCCGATTTATTTTGCTAGAGCAAGACGTGATGACCAATAGAGAAAATTTTTCGTGGTTAGATTTACAACAAAAATTAATCTTGATGCAAGGTCTTCATCACTGAAGTATTATTAAATCGCTCACAATTTATAATCTGATATTTCCACTCTGGGTACAATCAGAAAAATAGGTTTCACGATTATCAGATGTAGTAGCTAAAAGCTCAATGTATAGTGAATACTAACTACTAAATTAAAGTTACATCTCACATTAAACCTCTTGTATATAAAAGTGTTGAAAGATATGCCCTTAAAAACTAACTGAGATATGTAATATATAGTAATACAAAAGCTAAAAGTAAAAAAGAAAGTTTTTGGAGCGTTTTAAACTCTGTCAAACCACTTAGCAACGTGCTAGCAACGGTCCGTATGGATTGTTTCACAAAAGCGCTGAAAGCGACACCGGGTAAATCGCGAAAACCTCAAATTACCGCAGTTCACAGCGAACATAAAGCGAGAATAAACGATTTGATTTGACTTCAACGCCACACCGCCTTGTTCCAAAGGGAAAGAAGCGAAATGTAACACTACTTTGTACTTACTGATCCTGAGATACAGTAATCCTGTCATGGTACTGTGGAGTATGAAGAAAATGCGATTCGAAATTCCTTGACAAGTAGTCGACACCTTGATGTTCCTTGTACAGTCCTTGTTGCAGCGCAGTGGTCATTCTTCTGCCGAAGTCTTCGCGCTCGATTGACGGAATTTGTTTCAAACTACATCGTAACTTTCTCGAATAGTTTCAGTGGAGTTGAAGTTTTGCAACTTCTCTCGCGTACATCCGGTCAGGCAGTCAGCTACACAGCGCAATTCATAATAAACATAAATTTTGCCAAGGAGACGCTTGCTTGTATGATTGGTTTATTAAACAATGGGATGCGTGGCTATTGTTTTGATCAGATTACTTGGTCTTTCAATGAAGAAGAACAATGTGAGAGTAATTTAAAATGCCGAGAATGATTATAACTGTAATACATGCTAGTGTCCTCTTTCATCATGTTTATAGCTATATTTGTTAGCAGCCAAGCTGCGCACTCGCGCGCGAAAGCCCGCCAGCTACGCGTTTGGTTCTCTACGCTACACTTTTTTTTGCTCTCGAGAATGACACTCGAGTCTCACAGTATTACATATTACAGTGCCTTTCTCCATAGAGGTGTATAAATGGGCACAAAGATTTGACAAAGACTGGTTGAATACTGAAACTTTCCTTCTGGACGCAAACATGAGCCCATGACCGCTCACGAGAACTTGCAGATCATGAAGACTTTTTTTTTACGCCCCGTCCACAATTCGCCGGAGAAATTTGAAAACGGTGATTTCACTCTGAAAACGCATCAAATGTTTTCTGTCCACTCCAACGCCGAAAAAACTTGAACATGATTCTCGTCACGTCATCGTTTCCAAAAAAACTCCGTTTTCAAAATGTTTTCCGAACTCACTAAACGCAAAGCCAACATTTTCAAATTCCTCCGATTTGAAGAGCGTTCTCGTGACGGATTAGTGTGGACGGCAGGGATAACCGTAGAAATAAAGCTGCGTTTTCAAATTTCTCCAGCGTAGTGTGGACAGGGCCTAGCCTCAATTTACAGCGTTTGCATTTAATAATTTATAATAAATGCAAAACTCCATTCATTTATCATTACTTTCTTCTGGCATTTTTTTCTCTTGCACAAAAATGTTTTGTTTCTCTTACAACTTAACTGCGCTTTGAAAATTCACTTACTTTGCTGAGTGCGACTACTGAAAACCACCGGAAATGTTTACTGCTTGAAAAAGGAATGCTCCTAAGGGTTTAAAAAGAGGCCGCACTTTTGTTTAGCATGTTCCCTATTGGCGTGTATAATGACAGAGTAAATAGTTGACTTTGTTCTTTTCTTTCAATCCCTTCAGAGGTCAACATGAACAGACAAGGCCAGCGCGATTAGTGACGTCACACGTCTCGTCTGACTGCACACGAGGCAAGGTAACCTTGGCGAATTTTGTTTAGCGTTCGAGGGATATCCGGCCATAGAAATAAGGAATTTCTACATGATTTAACCCGAATTATTCACATCCTTGGCTTCGGTGCACTATTTTTACCTCGCTGGCTGCCATGTGAGCAAGTTTTCTGTAACCAGGGGCTGAGAGATGGCCGTCGCTACGAGTTATCTGTCAAAGTTACAGCATGAACTCTACCATGAAAAACATGGCTTTGACAAGCTCTCCAGAAATTTTCAGTCCTCTCTGGTCCATGATCCGTCGCACATTCGCCGTATAACAACTTATCCTGATCGGTGAGTCCATACAGAGTTTGTTAACTTTCCTAATAGTCCTAATATATCTACCCGCGGAGATCAGCAAATTAAAACTTACACGAAACGCGGCAAAACTCAGTCACAAAGTGCGAATTGAGAAAACACATTCATCATAAATTTTTAGTAGATATGGTAATTTACTTATTCATGATCAAAAAGCAGCAACTGTTAGATGTTAGCTACACCAGGTGGTAATGTGCATCCCCCAATGAGAAACAAAGAATGCGAGTTCTTCGAAAAATATCACGCAACATGAAAACCGTCACGTCACGGCTATGTTTTGGTAACCCTCACAGTAAAACTTTTTAAAAATTTGTAAAGCAAGACATATGCGTGAAACCCTTTTCCTGGTAGTACGGTACTCCTTCGAGTTACAAGATCAAAACAGGAAACTGCTGTGTTCTACCGCTTTTTGTCCGTCTTACCTGACTTAGTAAGGAGCATAGGCACGTAATTCGTGCAGAGGGCTAACTAGGCTATGAAGCTAATTCAACTGAAGAAGCATAGGCACACAATTCGTGCAGAGGGGTATGTAGCTAATTGTCTCCAAAGTTGAACAAAGAAAGTTAGCAAATGTTATGATTATTTAGATTGATAAAGGTAACTGAAAAAGACACAGAAAAAAAATAAGTGGAAACATCAAAGGAAGATTACAATGGAGACATAAATGAATAAAGTTTACGATGCTTTCTTGGGGAGAAATTTGAGTAACTATCTCCCTTCTCTGAGCACACTCCCTTATTTAAGCACAAACGGTCTGCACAAACCAAAGTGTGTGGTTTTGTGCTGTTTTACTCTGATAAAAGGTATGTTTTGTGCACTGTAATTGTGCATGGGTTTTTAAAAGAAACTTTTTTCATTGTTATGATTTAAGGGAATTCCCCTGAAATAAAACTGCACATAGATTTTTGTTCAAACTTTGTCCAATGAATATTTATCATATGAGAACTTTAATTATAAAATAACAAAGGTTGTGCCCATGCTTGTTAAGGAGCAGTGAGGCATTGAAAATGTCCCAATTTAGCCTTATTTAATGCTTATTGCAAGAACGCATTCCAAGTTATTGTAAACTCTTTGTGAGCCCAGACTCATGAAAACACCCCTCAAACTACAGTCAATACTTGTGTCGAACACAAATAAACTTTTTAAATTTGATTTTGACAGACAGCTGAATCCTTGTTAAGATGTTGGAACCAAATTGCTTGCCATGGCTACCAAACTGCGAAATAGAAAAGACTACAGTGCAGCTGCTATTTTCCTTATTTATTCAATTTTCAACAATAGAAATCAAATCAGTCTTTTCTCATGCAAAGCTAATGATTAGTTGATTTAAATGACTGGAAAAAAATTTGGGGTGCCTGAGCTCGTTCGTGAGCTATAGCCATTTTTCAACAGACAGAACTCATGTTTTCAATGTGCAGATGCATGAACGCACACCAATGATGCCATAAATTATGCGCGGTAAGGATGCACAATGCAATACTGGGGAATGCCCCTAAGGACTTGAACGCTTATCCCAAATAAGAATTCACAGAGAAACCACCCCTTGGTGGCTGAGATCGATATTAAAATGTGTCAGTACTAATTAAAAGATCTAAAATAAAGCAGCATCCCTGAAATTTAAACATTATGTAAAATGTAAAGCCAAAAAGGGTCAGGGACACCCAATGGATCATTTTGGGTAAATCATCTGTTTGATTGGTCTGTAATCCCCTCAAACTTTAGTCACCTCAAACTTTTGTGACGTGAGAAATATGATGCCTGTTGTTTTTAGATTGATAACACCTGATAAAAATGTCATTTTGGGCTTTGAAAAGAGCCAGCTATGATTTTTGCAAAGGCAAGAAGAGTTGCTATGGTTTTTGAGAAATGGACAAGAAAGCCCTGGTGAATTTGAGAAGACTCGAGTTCCCCTAAAAATTATGTCAGAACAGATAAAAAATTTATCATTAGCCTAAAATTCACCTACAGAGCTTTAAAGCACTCCAGATAACCAAAAACAGTATTTTAGAGCATTTGAGGGATAGCCTTTCATGAGTGCCCTTGAAATGTAAATATTTGAAAATATTTGAAGAAAGGCTCTATTTATCATAAAGTTGTGGTAAATATGCCACAAGTAAAAAGACAATTATTAGAGTTTGGAATAAAAATGCCACTGACCTTCATCAACATTTTCTAGGTACTCCCGCCATCTTGAACAAGCCAACACTCATGTCAAATGTCCCTGGGGTCGTGCTCGTAGCTATGCCGGGGAGGCCCCCGTGTGCCTTCCAGAAAGCCATCGGCCCAAATGTGAACCACCAGCCTTACTTCAGAAGGGACATAAACACTTTGGCAGTGGGGTTGCTCCTCATCCAAGGTGAGTTAAATATCCAGCTGATCAACACCTCAATTCACCTAACTATGCCAATGCATTGTTAAGCAGACTGGTGATGAGAATAAAGAAAATCATCAATTAGAGGTTTTCATTAACATTTTCAGCAGGGTGGTAACTGGTTTTCACAGGTGGACAAAACTACTTGAACTGAACTTTGTTACATGAAAACCTTTTCACTAAATGTTCAAACCAGGTGGGCAAAATCATCCTCACAGCCAGGCAATTTGCTCGGTGCTCAGTCTTTAATGAAACCCCTGCATTGGGTAATCTATGTTGCAGGTGTATTTTTGGGAAGGTAGGGATGAAGTGGAGAGATAAAAATAGAATTAGAGAGAGGGCATTTTTACTGTTCTGTTTCCTTTCTCCATCTCCCACCCCACCCTAAAAAATATTTTCTTACTCAGGAGATAGGTTTCTGTTGCACCATTGGGTGATGTTAACAGGGTCATTCAGTGTTAACAGGGTGTATGGTGCATTATTATACTAGTAAACTACTCCTCTGGGGGAACTCCTATATGAAAAGGTTGTGGATGCTAGCCGTCTTGCTGAGGGTTATAAATCAAGGATTCTGGTCTCCCTTAGGGTGTTCGTGATGAAAAGCCACAATTTTTAGCTGCCAAAGTATCTTTTAGAGTGCAATCAAAGAGACAATTCTAAAAAATGCTCTCATTTCCATTTTTCTGCTTGATTTCTGATGGTCTCACCAGTACAGTGTACTAGTGCAGGCTCCCTTTCCTGAACAGCAGCTAGTATTTGGTTTTAAGCGGTATCTTTTAGCAGTCAAATAAAGCGCAAGCCACACCCAGATTGGTCTCCTTTAGGGGTTTAATTCAAACTTTCTGACAAGCTTCCCTGAACTTTTCATATGAGGGTCCTCCCTGGGACTACTCCCTTTAAATTATGTCACAATTTATTTACTTCTTGCCATTTGCACAGTTAAGGCAACTTTTACTGTAAACCAGTTCATCTCTATGGCCTATTTAATGTAAAAGGAATCATTCAAAGTAGTTGGTTTGCGAGTGTCTGGGCATGCTAGCTCATGCAAGATGGTGAAACCCCTTTTTGAAAATTTGAAAAGTTTATGAGGTTGAACAAAAATAAATTTGTGCAAATTCTTTGGCTTTTTCTTCGCCCAATACTTTGGAAAGCTTCACTTAGCCAGACTGAATGAATTTCCAAGTTTCTAAAAGGTATTTAAAGCTTTAAAGTCGAAATATTCAAGTATTCTGAGGCAAACAAAAACCATTGTGTGCCAATTAAGCGGCCACCCCTTATAAAGCGCCAGGTTATTTAAGTCCCAAAGTTATTGTCAGTAAAATACTGTAAATAAAACCCCTATTAATCGGCCACAGCCGCCTTTTGGTCATCCTGATAAGGGTTTGTCTAGTACCTAAAAATTACCACTATTAAACGGCCACCCAAAATTTAAAAACTTTGTTTTGGAAAAGGCAATGGCAGATAAGAGTCTGAAATAGAAGGTGACAAGTGACAAAAACATTCAAACACACATTTATCATGATTGTCCGAAAGTGGCCGCTTAATAGGGGTTTGACTGTATGACAATTCTTTACTCACACTAGGTGGGAATTTATATTTTAATCAAAAGTAGTGTCATGTTTTTTTGTTTAGTTTTCCCAAAGAATGGTTAAATCACTTCACTTCACTTCAACTTCACTTTAACCAAAGAATGGTTAAATCATGATACAAAACTCAATGAGATTTAGAGACAGCTTTACCATATTATAATGGTGGCTAGTTGGCAGAAAATATATTCTTGTATTCTGGGTTCTGTTGCAAAGCAACTCTGCCCATTATTAGCATATATTTTCCATTTTGCTGCCAATACAATGTGGTAACACTGTCTCAAAATTACAGTTAGTTTATATGAAAGCTTAGTTCAAACACTTCAGTCTTTTCACTTTCAAGAGTCTAGCAAATGTTTTCAAAAGTTTTATCTGCCCAAAAGAAAACACTCGAAACCACAGGTTCTAGAAAAAAAAGTGGCTTACTGCTGATTTCAGTAATTTACTTCAGCGTGAACTGTCCAAGCAGAAGCTTCCAGCAATCCTTACGAAGACTTCTTTAACACTGAACTACTCTTTTTGATATATGAATGAATCAACCACCTTTTTCCATTTTGTATTTTCACTTAAACTTTCAGTTCTCTTGTTGATCACCTGATGTATCATCATGATGTGTTTTTTCTTCCAAAGATGCACATTTTGCACACACATGTACTTGCTTCTTATCCTACCTCAGTATCAGTTTCTATGTGTATTCATTATTCACTAAACTGGAGGTGAATAGTGGTGGATATTTACCAAGCCATGAAGTGACAAGGTAAATATCCACCACTTTCTCTAACACTGAGGCAAATAGTTGTAAGAGGGTCCTACAAGGGTGAAGGGGGGAGGGGGGAGGAAGGGTCTCTAATAGCAAATCACGGATCATAGATTTCAAAATTTCAGTTTCCCGAAACATGAAAATAAGCAAGTAAGGTACTTTTTTTAATAACCTGCTCCTACGCTAGAAAGAGTTTTGAAGACAGCAAAATCGTGAATACCCTTGAGTCTTTAAAGGCTGGTAATTCAGTTTAGCAGTTGCCAACACGGCCATGCCGCCAACCAATGAAACACAATTTAGAACTACCCAGCGAGTTTCATGACAAAGAAGGCTGCAGCAGGGGCGGATCCAGGATTTTTCTTAAGAGGGGATGTCCAACTAAGGAATGGTGTAACTAACTGGTGACGTTGACAAATTTTAAAAGCGAATACGAAGAAGACTTCATCTCAGGAGGGGGGGGGGTGTGCACCCCCTGCACCCTCCCCCTAGNCGGTCATTTTTGCGTTTAAAGGCTTGCACTCGCCTACCAAAACAAAACTGGCAAAATATATTGTTATTTTCGGATTCTACAATTTATTAGCTTTACGATATGTATAGTTTACAGAGGGTTTCTTTAAGGCAGTGTGCAAAGAAAGCATTTTCCGGAAGGCACCCCTGAAGGTCTATAGTAATCTCAATAAATCTCCTGGAGAACTCACTTCTCAAAATCACATCGAACAGAGCAGTGAAATCAAAAATATCGGTTAATGATTCAAGTTCTTCATGGGTCACGCAAAACCCTCAGGTCACAGATCATGAAGAATAATTCGGTGAAGCGATCGTGAAATCAATGATCATTTCAAACAGAGCTTGATGATGAACCAGAGCAACAATTTGCACAAGATCATTTCAATCAATTAAAAAAAGCCGTCCAAGAGGGGTTGTCAAGGGAAGGAAAAATGTCGAAGCCAGTGTTGACCCAGCGGACCTGACTAGCATTGTTTGGCTTTGGTGATCAAAAAGGAAATTATTGTCCACTAGTTATTCAGCTTGTGTGGCATATACTAGTCAAGAGGGTTTTGCAGGGATATACTCATGATGTGTGATTAGCTGATTTTCTTTACCGTAAAATGTGAATTTAAGAATAGTTCTTAAAATCACATCGAACAGAGCGGTGAAATCAAAAATATCGGTTAATGATTCAAGTTCTTCATGGGTCACGCAAAACCCTCAGGTCACGGATCATGAAGAATAATTCAGTGAAGCGATCATAAAATCGATGATCATTTCAAACAGAGCTTGATGACGAACCAGAGCAACAATTTGCACAAGATCGTTTCAATCAATTAAAAAAAGCCGTCCAAGACGGGTTGTCAAGGGAAGGAAAAATGTTGAAGCCAGCGTTGAACCAGCGGATCTGACTACCACTGTTTGGTGGTTTAAATCGACAAATAGGTTTTTCTTGTTAACAAAACAATTATAAAAAGAACAGCAAAAAAAACAAAAAAAAAAGAAAAGAAAACCAGGGGAAAAATTCAGGATTTGAACCGACACTCGAAGAAGAATTTCACCGCGAGCACACACCTGCACGCGTTTTAATCACTTGCACCACATTAACACATACTAATATAAAGTGAAAATTGAAATAATGATTTCCTCTTGTTCCGCCTCGTTGCATTCATTGTGCATGCTTCGATATTTTGTCCTCATTTTTCCCAGAAACAAAGTGCAAACCAGCCAAAAAAAATACAGGAAAATGCTTTACTACTAAATTGAAAAGCACATGCAAAAATTCAAGCACTTTTGAAGGAAAAAAAATTTCACCCGAAAAAGTCACGTATGCCAGTCTTGCACCAACCCATTCAATTGTGTTATGTATAATTTTCAGAGCTGAAGAAAGAGAACTACAGAAAAACAGACTAAAACATAAAAACACAAAAACACGAAGAAAATTGTTTGTTTGCATACACGTATGCAGCCTTAGTTTTAGTAATAAGCTTACATGTACATCGATTGCGAATCAGTTTACTCATCGAGTTTGGCAGTAAAACAAACAAGCAGAACACTATGAAAAATAAGTTCATCTGGTACCTTTGTTTTATTGTTGTTGACTTCATTCACAGTTGTCATAATTGTCTGAAAATGGGTAGTTTTAGTGTGAAGAAAAATTAATTTCGGTCAGTCAATCTGACCTGCTGGCGATCAACGTAACCAATGCATTTACGATTCTTAAATTCCTTGAATACGAGTTCTTGAAAGGCTTTTTGGTCCAAGGGCGACAGCAGTCATTTTGGAAATTATCCATCCTTTCAAACATCCTGGACTTGGAGTGATGTCTTCTGAATAAATGCAAAATTCATTGAGCAACTGTCTGCGATGTTTACTTGCTGAGATGGCAATCAATGTACATGTAAACTTATTACTAAAGCCAAGGCTGCATATGTGTATGCAAAGAAACAATTTTCTTTGTGTTTTTATGTTTCAGTCTGTTATTCTGTAGGTCTCTTTCTTCAGCTCTGAAAATTATACTAAAACAATTATTTGCCTCAGTCTCAGTGAACATTGGTGAATATTCACCTCAACTTCGTCTCGGTGAATATTTACCGATGTTCACCTCGCCTTCGGTGAATAATATTGTTTAATAGTGAATATCTACCTTGTCACTCTGGGGCTTACCTCCATTGTAGGGAATAATATTGTTAGTTATTGTGAGGTAGGACAGGGGGGAAGAACCTAGGAGTCAAAGGGGTAACAGCTTTACAAGAGGCAGGAGAAGAAATGGAAAAAGTAGGATTTCAAAGATGGTGGGAAACAGGTGAAATAGGGGAGAATTGTGCAACATTACATGATATTTAACAATACAAAACACCAACAGATGGGAGCCACTAAGGAAGCCGTTTGTGCTCCCAGAGGGTTTTGTGGCTGACTACTCCCCACCCCTCCCCCCTCCCCAAATCCATTTGAAGATTCCAGTTCTGGTACATACTTTCTTTTAAAAAATTTTGACATTTAAGAGCCCCATCCCCCTTATAATTTTCTACTAACCCTCCTAGGGGTAGGTATGCATATTTTCTGGAGCTGCACATTTGCTCCAAGTATGCACTGTCCACAGTCTCTAGCGTGTGGAGGTAAACACGTTAAAAATGCAAGAGAAACATTTGATGCCTAACAATTTGAGGGTTTTTAACGTTCTGTGGTTTTTATGATTTACAAAGCATGCACAAGATTTAAGTCATCAAATTTGCTGGTAGGCGAAGGATTTCCACACAAATGTCACTAAAATTCCCCACTACTCCATTTCCTGGTTTGCATCCAAAATGAAAACCCTAACTGTGACTTTGCTAGTGATGCAATAACGTTCTAATTTAATCAGTGAATTATTTTACTTAGTATCTCTAGTTGTTGATTCATGCCTGTTTAGAAATTTGAATTTGTTGTGACTTGTTAGGCAATCGCAATACATTTACTGCAACTTCCACCAAGAAGATGCAGTTGTCGTAACTGTCAGAAACCGTGGAGGGGTCTGTTTACAATAGAATCCCTCAAGGGTTCGACGAAACTAGTCATTGAGAAGCAATATTATTGGTCTCAAGTGAAAGAAACAACGCTCGTTAGGGAGGACTGAAAACAGCTTGAAACTCAGTTACAGCAGGTGTTGCTTATACAGGAGCGACCAATTGAAATGCTTTCAAAAATGTCAAAAATGAAAACAAAAAGAAAAAGGTGACCTACCCTAAAGCAACTTTCCAAATTACTCACTTTTGTCTTGCAAATAAGTTAGAGCTGCTTCGAACTTTTCTCTCTTTCCTTTCAACGTGTACATCACGTGTGTACATTTTCACTTTCTGTCCACCATTTTCATTTTCGGAGAGACTGGGTTCGAATTCCAGAGATTAAAACTCGATGATTTATATCTAGCTTTGCCTTTTTCGTCCGAGTAAGCTCACATCGTTGAAGACAGCCGTCAATAATGTTTGATCTTTAAAATGTCTCTGTTGGGGTTTGGATGAAAGTTGGCTTCTCGAAAGCGGTAAAGAAAATATGGTTAATAATAATAAATAATAATAAATAAATATTTATATAGCGCCTATCCATGCCTGCTCTAGGCGCTGTACAATTCGCCAAAAAGAGCTGCACTAATCTTAATAATTAAAAATGTGCATTTAAGAAAGTAATAGAAAGTAAGAATCGCTAAGAATAATAAGTTTTCTTAAAAAGATGAGTTTTGAGTTTAGATGGTTATTTCACAGTGACGTCTCTCTCGGAAGCATCTTCAATCGATCGTTTCTCGAAAGGGTTGAATTTTGGCTAACGCGTCAACGGGGGCGGAGGGAATAAGATATACCATGGCATGGCCCAAGGTTACCATCTTCATAATATTAAATTTGGGAAAGCAAGAACGGGCGCAAACCTCAAAGAAAAAGCAAGCTCGGTTGATGAATAGAACTAGCCAGGATTGTCGACTATTAATGGAAGACGGGGACTTGGAAATTTGCGGGTCATAGACCTTTTTCATAGATGGCTGTTAATTTTAAGTTCTTTTGTATGTATTTGAATTAGCCTCACTAAACTCGTTTGAGAGTAAACATTCTTTTGAATTATCAACTTAAAAACAAGGTTACTCAGGCTAATTGTAATATTTACAAAAAAAATATATAATTGGCAGCCATTTATGAAAAGAGTCTATAGCCATGCAATGTTGTCTTTGTTTCTTTGACGCAGAAGGACATGTGACAACGCTTTTGCGTTTACCGTGTAGCACTTTTATTTTGCGAGGTTTAGTTTTTGAGAATTTTGCGGATGGTACTTGATCCGCAAAAATAAGTTCCAGCAGAAAAAAAAAGACACCAGCAAAATTAAAAACCACAAAAATTTACTCCCGTTAATATAATCAAAAATGGCTTTTAATCCACTTGTGTTGCTGTATATCATGTATTGGGGTAAAAAGAACGTTTATTTTGATATTTGCATTGAGAAAAAGCAATCGGAACTTGCTACAAACAAAACGAAACGATAAAAGGTTAGGTTAATACTTTTCCAGTCTCTGTGGCACAAGAAACGAACTCAAAGCAGTCAAAAGGTCACGTTAAACTTGCTCGAACGGGTCATCCGAAGGGACACCATTTTCTAAGGCCTCTAGGATGCCACATTTCTCATTCGGAAAACTGTAGACTGTTGTTTTACCTAAAAAAGTATTAAAAGTTGAAAATATTACATTTCCTTCCTTGTTGATGTCTCGCTGCTTGAAAAGGAAACCGCAAAAATTAGTTTCTAGTGGAAATTTCAGTAAATCCGAGCGCAAAAGTTTGTTCCCGCGAACCTCAAAAAGTCGCCAATCCGCAAAATAAAAGTCCCGCAAAAATCTCATGCTATACAGTATATATTTTACTACTACTGAACGAAATTTTTCAAGCTTTTTGTCAGCGAATCCAAGACCTCTACCCCTCCACTCCTTTCAGAATGCCTCCCCCCAGTTGCTTGTCTTAGTAAGGTCTTGCGACTTTTTAACATTAGTTCCCCTTTCTGTTTTCATTTCAGAGGTGTGCCACTACAACAGTTCTACGACCTGACACAACTCAAGCGAAGTAAAGTGAGGTGGAACGACGAATTGTAAGTGTGTTTATTGCATCTTGTGAAGACTTACAAAAAATCCAAGCAAAAGTATCCAAAGTCTTTAAAACCAGTTTAAGGAAATCGGTTGCCTATCTCCAGCTACGCCTGGTTCTTTATAATTAAGCTAATCCAGGATTGTCTTGAATTGTTCTAAAACCGTTGTTTTAAAGGAGCTCAATCACGGTATTTTGAGTTATTTTGGCCACATACTAAATTACCTTTAAATGGTAGGAAACCTGAAAATCACAGTTTAATAAGATAGGAAAACACCAAAGAGATAATGATAAACCATAAAGGAACAAGGATGACTAAGGATGGAGAAGATTTACACGGATTACAAACGACGAATTTGAAAAATTGAGGCTAAACTTTTCAATATGCGCAAACCATGACTGAGCTCCTGAAATGATGGCTTTAAACGAAGCTAATATATTTGCGGCCCCGGTAGGGGGGTCTCCGTATCCCAAATCCCGTTAGGTTTTGTCTAAATATCCCTTATCCCTTTAACTCCAGTTGAAAAAACTAACGTTTTTCCAACTCTATATCGCGTTTTATCTGATCTAAATATCGCATTTCCATTAATTTTTGCCCCAAATGTCCTGTATCCCGTTAATTTTTTACCTGAAGGACGTTCGCGCTAATTGTTTCTGGACATCCTTACTGCGCACGCAAATTCACACGCCACGTCATGCATCGATGCGCGCGCTAAGTGATAAAATGAACAATGATAGGGCAGATGGCCATTGCTATAGCTTTGCCTGGATTTAACGATCTTGGACGTTCGGTGACCCCTATTTTTCTTTTCATGGATCATTTTCTCTACCGATTTTCTACGTTAAGCGAAAAAATGAAGAAAATCTATCGATTAGAAGCTTGAATTTTTTGTCAAATGCACCATCGAATCCATTATTTGTAGCTCCCCGTTTATCTGTGCAGCGGTTTCAAATGCCTCTTGAAGGGTTAAGTTTTGTGAAAACGTTGGTAACATTTGGAATTATTTACGCAACAGACCCTCTTCTACAAAATATGACTAAGATCGCTTGCCTCCGTCGACTCACCTTCGACATTTCTAACCGCTATAAACCCCTGTAGACCAAGCTGAATTACGTGCGCCAATTTCTCAAAATCAGGGTAGTTTTCCACACGCTTTATCTCTGAAACGAAGTCGGTGATCCCCATTTTTTGTTTTCATTTGTGACACGAGTAACTCGTTATCTGACTGCAGTAAAAAATTTTTAAAAAATCTATCGGCTGTAAAATTTTAGCGCGAACGTCCTTAATATCCCTAATAGGGCCTCATACTTCCTTCTTTTTCCCTTGGAGGTTGCCAAGGCCCACAACAGCAGCTGTGCAGTGAGTCATTAATTTTATAAATTGTGATTCCTAATTAACTAATACGGGCGACAATTTTCTAAGAAAAAAAAATCCGTCTCGTTCCAGAATAATTCCGGCGAGTTCTTAGCCACACAATCGATAATTTCCCCCAGCTCGCAAAGCATTACCCCTGGGTTTGCTGGCGGTTTTCTTAATCATTCTTCAAGTAATTATATTCGTGATATTAAACTCGTCATCAAAGATTAACGGAAATTTACTTAACGACAGCAACCTCAAAAAGTTTGACTAATCAGAACTGATTTAACTCGGCGAGTTACGTACCGTTTTTTTTTCGTGAATTGAGGACTAGAATGAATGGAACAGTAATCGACACAAAATTTTGTACTAACTATCTCTCCAAACTCACGTAAATGAAGTCACCTCCCTGTGTGGTGGAAGAACTTCAATGAAGGTTCGATTCCAGGTTTCAATCAATGGTTGCTTAACTGTTTTAACATGTGCAATGTTGTGTCTGGTCTTGTTGTTTGTGTTTTGTTCTCCACGTTTGTTACAGGTTTGACTGTTGAAAGCGTTTCAATTTATTGCGCTTGCGTATCTTGCATTGGTAAGGTAGTTTACATATTACTTAGCATGTTCCTCTGTGCTGCATTCTTATGGCAACAAGATCTTGGAACAATATCCTCGCCAAACACCACGGTATAACCAGTCACAACTATTTAAACAGGCGCAGGCGTTGTCAAGCGCGGGAAAAGCCAGTTTACGAGGGTCTTACGTTTGAACATCTTTGCTCTCTGATTGGGCAAGGAATGTTTCACCAGTTTTATGACATGACAATCAGACGATGACGTTCCAAAGTCGTCACAGAGCTGCAAACTAAAAGCGAGTACGTGAGATTACGCAAGTTCTGACGACAGTATTTCTACCCAAGAGACGATGATCTTTACTCTTCCAACAGCGACAGTATCGCCAATCCTATACCTGAAAGGGTTAATTGATGGTAAAAATAATAGCTGATTTCTTTATTTACAGTAAAACTTTGATAAAGAACTTGCTCTTTGAAAGACAGTTTCTGCAATTGCTTGCTTTGTAAAATTTACATTTTTAATCAGATTCTCATTTGTTACTCTCCTTCATACAACAATAAAGTGAAGTAGTTCTTCTTTGTCTCCAAGGTTGAGAATCTGTTTCGCATATTGAGAAGTCAGGTATAGGATTTGCTAACACTGTCTCTTTCTTCCTGCAGAGAAGGTCAAATTACTCTTCCTTTCCCTAAGGAGTCTCCCCTGAGTTCACACATGTCCCGTCAGGCTATGTTTCCCAGTCCAAACCCAGCAGAGCGACATTCCCAAACCAAGATTACTTCACCCACCCCTCCCCCACTGATTGTCAACAAGGCCATGGGGAGCTTTGCACGCCGGGAAGTGGTAACACCCATGATCAATTCCAGGACTTCTCCTCCAGCACAGCATCAAGCCCGACCTGTAGCGGTATGTGACACGTGATTTGTATACGAAAGAATAGGGATAGTAATATGCGACAGGTCCGAAAATCACGAGATAACAGCTTTTGAGTTTTCTGATTCGATAAGAAACATATTTGCTTAATGAATATCGCTTCCGGTCGGAATCTACCCCTCTTTTGTACCTCTGTTACAATATCTCTAGTTCTGTAGGTGCTCTAATAAACGGTTTTAGTTTACGGTCTACTTAAATTCTCTAGAGGTACCTTTTCCTCGCGCCTGGTACCCGCTGTATAAGAGTGACAGGCGTCTCTGGGAACAGGAATGGACTATCCCAGCCAGGGCTTAAACTAAGGCCTCTTAACCCTAGATCAAACGTGCTGACTATATACTGAGGACCTCCCAAAAAGTGAATTATTCAGTTCGTCTGTATCAGATATCAAAACACCAAAACAAAAAGTTTGAAATTTGCATAATTTTTCTTTATTTTCAAGGCATCAAACAATTGGTTTTCCAAACATGACGTCATCAACCAGTTCAATACACTCCACCCCAGCAGAACTCCCACAATTCGACTGAACATCCAGAGACGGAGGCGTGCAGACTGGCAACTAGTTTATTAACACATATTCGGAACCAATGAGAGCCAAGAATGACTGTTAACGTTCAAGGAGGACCTCAGAAACACGCTACAAGTTTTACTAGTGGAAAAAGAGAATATTGCTCCTTCAGTGTTTTCGAGACGTTTTAAAACAGAAAATATTTCGCTACAAGGTAGAAAGTGTCTGCTATGATATTTCCGTGTGTTACAGTGTGTTCATGATATAATTCCTTTCGCTAACTTGTATTAATTTTGCTGAAATTGTAAGATTTTAAACTATCATTAGTATTATTTAAAGAAAGGCAACATGCATTGTTAAGTTTGAAAATTGATTTTAGATTTTGCGCTAAGATCGCAGCCACCATTCGTGTGTGACTAGACTTGCATTACTACTAATAAATCAAAGCCAAATCCTCGCTTTTTAAAATTGCTGAGAAAATCATTGCTATCTCCGTGTCTTTTTCTTTAATTTAGGTAAAGTGAATGTGATCACAGACAGTTAAAGAGAGTCAAATAGGACAAATGCGAACTGACCCCAAACTGAAATGAAGTAACTGGTTAAAATGGCAGCTTTTTTTTAGCCCTTCTCGGTTGTTATATTGAAGGAAATACTTGCTTCGAAAACGGCAACATTTCTCGGTGGAAAAGCACAATCTGTGTATAATTATGAGGTCTTAAACTCGAGTCAACAAAAAACACTTTTAACTACTCCTGACTAACCTTCCGTTGGCATCTCCAAGTTGAATTTCAGTACTTGTAGATTCGACTTTTTTGCGTTTCACAGAAAGGGGAGTCGGTACCCAGGCCTTGATCCGCCTTCTTTCGCTTTCAAGAGAGCTAAAAATCTGTCTCTGGAGAAACTTCCAGCTTATATACGTAACCATAACTCTCGAGTTTTTACTTTGTCAAACACACAATTAGTCTACTTTCTACGAATTTGCTGCTTTCTCTACGTACTCTACTTTTAGAAACAATACTTGCAACATTTTGAGAACAATACTTATACTTATATGTGGCCATCTCGGCCTCTTGTTTCTTACGTTCGTGCGTGAAAACGATTTGTAGAGGGAATGCCAGACCGTTTCTTGAGTAGTTTTCAACTTGGTTTCTTTATATTGACTGATTTTACACTTTTCTGACGTGGCACTACATTTTCCAGAAGACACCAGCAACGCTGAAATACTCTGGAAGTGGCACTATGAAGAATTTGCTGAATACGTGTAAATGGTGATTTGGCGAGTTCCCCGGAGACTTGCGAAATCCGTACCCTTTTATACACCCGAAGCCTGCTGAAAAAGGTACCTCTTTCGGGCAGAGCCTCCCCGTATAGGGAGTATCCGCCTGGGGGCGAGTTAGACCAGATTGAGCACGGCCGGGTCGGGGACACTTGTTTCGTTTCGCCGTTCAAAATTTCTCACAGATAACCTAATTCACTCTCTCGAAAACAAAAACAAACAAACAACAAAAAAAAACATTTCATGTCAACTCTTTGTTTTGTGACAGAAAATTTGAAAAGAGGTTAAGGTCTGTGAAGGTTTTCAGTGAAATCTTTCGAATTGAGATTACAAAACAGTTAACCATGCGATGGCGTTTACATCCCTTTGGTTTAAAGACAATTTTTTCAAAATTNGGGGGGGGGGGGGGGGGGAAGGGGTCAATCTCTTTCGAATTTTGTCACCTGAAGAAAGAAAGCCGTTCAAAACACGTGCGCATGTCACGTTTTAAAATTAATTAAAATTAACTAAATTTCTTTAGACTATGTAAACCAGCATCAACTTCCGGAGGTATCCTGTGGGTTCGTAGACCTGAAGTCGGTGACGTGCTCTCAATCACACAATTTGAAATTTAAAATTTGGAGAGGGGGATTCCGGAACCCCTGAAACTCTCCCTTGGGGTACCCCCTATGTCTAGTTTGAAATACTACTGAGGATGTCCAGGATTGTGAATCAATATTGAAAAATCTCAGACATAAAAGCACACGCGCTTTTCGCCCAGCAAAACAGACAACGAAGACAGTACTGCCATTAACACCTTTCTTCCCAGTTGTCAACACCTTTCCGTTGTAATGTTGCGTGAAAATATTTTTATTTCCGAAATATTTTGACATCCTCTCAAGTCGCGTGTGCCATGATGGTCCGCCAGACATGCTTCTGTTATCACCAGCGGATCTTGAAAGTGTATCAAAGGATTTATTCGTGTGCAAAACCTTTTAACACCTTTAAGTATGACGTCAAACCCTCGTTCTTATGGTACCACACCTCAGGCAGAAATCTCGAACAGGAAATCATTCATAGAGAAAAAAATGTTGCTTGATTTTCAGTATTCTGTCAAGTTAAGCTTCTGTTTATTTGATGGCGGGTCTCAAAGACGACTGCATAAAGTTTAATTACATTCTCTCAGTAGCTTAGAATCTCAAAAATGAGTTGGTTAAGTAAAGTCGAAAACAGTTTGTAAACAAATTATCTTGAATGTTATCTTGCTTATAAAAATTACCATTGCTAATTAATTAAGGGCTGTGCTTTTTGTTTTTATGTTAGCCCATTAGGCAGACCTGGTTCTTTTTAGAGGCTATCTGTTTTGAAATCATTTCAAGTTTTTGTATATATATCACAACCATGATTATTCTGCTCTAGAGCTAAAGAAGCAAGATTAACCAGAGAGGAGAAATTTCAACAAACGCGAGTGTAAAAGGCAATGAACGCCTTCCTATTTTGGAAGCGATCACTGAGTTTGCACAACTGATGAATGTCAGTGACGGACGACTTAAACTCGTGGAGTATTTCAGCGAGCAATTCAAATGAATGCTATCTAAAATTACGACCTGTGTTGTTCCATGTTCTTCAAGAAACTTTCAGTGGTCTTTCACGAGCACCACTTTATTATGGTACCAAGTTGGTAAGGACGTTGGTATTTAACAACTTGAGACTAAATTTTGCCCGCGAATTCTCCTATAAGTGTCGCAAATTTGTACCTGAAACATTTGCTGCAATGCATTGTCTTCTTCGAGCCCAGCGAGCATAAGTTCCTAATCTATGAGTATCGAAACTTTTGCCCACAATATTGACTTGAACCATTTACGGGGAAACGGACATTCTTTAGACCCAACCACAATGAAAGCTCCAAGTGTTGCATTCCGCTTGGGATAGAACCTTGCCCTAAAACTCAACAAAATGACTCAGTTTAGCTTGGCTGGAGTTAAAAGTTTGTTCATATAGGAATAATGCCACCCTCTAATAATATACCTTTTATTAAGGAGACCACTGAAGACCCCAGAACAGACCAAGCATGTTGTGCAAATATTACTGCTTTTATACCGGCTAATCTTGACTGAGAGGTTTTTTTGCGATTCTTGTCAATCGTTTTAGTTGAAGACGGAACATGTGTCTGCACTGGGATTGAAACCTGAGCGAAGCGATATGAAGAATGTTGAACTAGTTATACTAGCAGAAAGAAGAGAAAGAAGAGATTCTCTCATAGTATAAAGCACAACGAAACTTCCGCTCTTTATTAATTTGAGACAGAAGAAGTCCGTATTCATCATGACCTGATTCACAAAAACGTTATCTGACTGATCTCTCAGAAATGCGCCGGGATCTCGCAGCCAACAAGCAGCCATGAAAACGGAAAAATATCTCGCGATATTCAGTCAAGGAGCTGATCACCTGTCACTATACATAAATAAAATTAGAGCTGAGATTAAATTGATAAATGTCAATTGCGACATTTGACATAAATGTTTCAAATTCTTCTGGAAACGTTGAGACTGGCGTCTTAGAGTATGCAAATCTCAAGGGCTTTGCGTTCCAACTTCCTTACTTACTTCCCAATGTTCTGCTTTGTTTAGGTCTCTTGGACCAAAAGAAACGCCCCCTCAGTTGGAAAATCCTAGGGAATGATAAGATAGGTGATCGTTGCAAAACCTCGAGTTGATTCTGTCTTTAATCTCTGCATGGAAGCGATCAATTTTTATTGTAAAAAATAAATTCGGCAGGATCTGATTAAGACATGGCTCAGGGAAAACGTCTAATATTAATTAACAATTTTTTCCAAGGCAAACTGTATTGAATCAACGAAAAAAAAGAGTCGAGAGGAAAATATGATTTTAGCCTTGACACTTGCCTCTCGTGAGACACGGTTTTATGTTCAATATTTGATAACTGGTTATATATAGAAAGTCTTTTAAAGGTCGTATTCTTTAGTCGGCTTTTAAGTTAAATGCAACAAATATAGGGTCAAAACTCAATTTAAACCAGACCCATTTTTTTTATTCAAAATAGGAATTTGCGAGAAAATTTTTCGTGCAGAGTGTAAAAATGTTGTTAATTATTTATTTCATCGTGCGCGTTTTGTCAACTCCTTCTTAAATAAGGTAGGAACTATTTTTCATTTTAAAACCATGCAATTTCTATTGACGTGATAAATTTTACGCTTTTTTTTTCTTTGTTCATCGGTGCCCGAAAAAAACATTTTGACTTGTTGCAACTTTTTGAAGTTATTCTAGTCTGGAACTCAAACTGATTATCTGTAAAGGTTACCACACAAATATTTTTGAACTGAACAAAATATGATTTATAAATGAGATTTGTGGTACCGTGATAGTAAAATTTCACTGCCCCAACAACCGAGTAACGAAGGGTTTTTCCTTTAACACAAGCATTTCCTTGTACGAAATTTCAGAGAGCAAATTTAGCTCATCAAAAACATCTCACGTCTGTTTCGTGTTGTCTGAGTGAGTTCTTTTTCTGGCATGGGGAGGAGATTTCACAGAGGGTGATTGCAAAAACACGCTTTAGCTGCTAAATTTAGAGTAACAATTAGCTGGCTCCGTCATGTCTCCTGATCAAGAATAACTGCAATTAATAAATGATGAGTCTGACCGAGATTTCTCATGCAAATCCTAGATTTTCAAAACAAAGTTCTTATCTTGTATTCCCCGGGGTTCAATTTATCTTGTGGAGGGTTGGCTGATAATTCGTGGGCTGATAGTTTTAGTCAGCACTTAAGGCTCACTTAATTTTTCTCCGAGGAGTCTTTTTGATGATTCTCAAATTCGCGAAAAAGAAAACGTATGGTTTGTCACAAAAAAAGATAATCCCTGGCCGATGTTTGGTACAGATTTGAACTCCATTTGTTTATCATCTGTTCCAGCAATAAACTTGTGGACTGAAAAACAGTTGAATATCCTGTATTGTTCCCAAACGTTTCCAAAGCTCGCCAAGTCGAAGTGCTTTTTTTGCGTATCACTCATAACTGTCTAGATGATTTTTGCACTGAAAACATTTTTGTGCGTGGGAAGCAACGAATACCTAATACTTCTGAAGAGAGGGTAGAAAAGAAAATATTTGAATTACAATTAATTGAATTAGTTATCGCCTTGAAAAAATCGTCGACTAACATTCATTCGTCTTTGTTTCTGCACAGCTCGTACAAGCAGTTAGCATATTAGACTATGTTACACAGGGTTTTATCTTTAGTAAATAGGCCAAGTAACAATGGCTGATCTTCAGTGCCACGAACAAGTGCACTTTGGTGAGAATCTGGTAATAGGCAAAAGAGAAGATGGGTAGAGAAAGAGAGAGATTAGACTGCATTCAGATTCATTTGCAAAACCAACTGATGAAAAGTAGTGATGTCGTAGCTTATATCTGAGGCATGTCTGGGTAGTCAAGGAAAGGGGGGGGGGGGGAGAGAAAGCCGCCTCCCTCGCTCAAGGCAAAGCTTCTGCTCTTTTCCAAAAGACCCGGGGGGTATCACAGGGTGGGTTATACAACCGATCATCAAAGAAGTGAATACCGCAGCAGGCGAGTGTAACTAAATTTTGACGGAAATGAGTAAGGTTTCCAAAGAGTTTTATATCTCGAAGTCGGCTTTTTTCATCGATTTATCCTTATAGGATTAACTGAATGGGTTGACTCTCATAATCATTTGCTGTTCAATCGTCTCTTTGTTTCAATAAAACCAAACGCAAGCACTCGGCAGATTACGTTTGAGATAAACTGGAAGAACGTCAAGTTCGATTGAACTAGGGCGATGAGATTAAACTGTTCACTCCTAATGATATCCCGCACAAAATTAAGCACATGCCAGGAAGAGATTTGACATGAACAGCTTCGTTTAACTTTAATTATCCGTAAGTGTCATCTGTAGAAACACGAGCCAACAGAGTGGTTAGAAGGCATAAGTTGTCATAATCTGTTTTCCTAGGTTCCATCTCCAGAAGTTTGAAGATTGCAGTTGCTTTGGATCTCTGCAACTGCTGTTGGTCTACCAATAGAATGTTCGATTTCTGAAAGTTTTCACCAGCAGCAGCTATAACATCGAAGTAATTTTAGGATTAACGTTCTGCAGAGCGTGCGTTTTGACAATAATGGCCAACCTCTCCAAATAAGGCGCTTTTGGCATTTCCTGTAAATACTCTCTTCGCTCAGTTCGCCTCAAATTAATTATCGCCAAGTCAGTTTACATGTAAACTTGTCGCGCTAAAAGCTGGCCCGATTATCACTCTAATTAATCTTCATACTTGCTTTCGTTATAGCAATTAGCAGAGGACACGCCCATTTCTCGTGCCTCGACGAAAGTGAACAAACAACTTTGGCAGCCGGAATTGCCTATTTCAATAATGCGGCGCAATTAGACTGCCAGCTTTTTCTGTACGAAAAAAGATAGTAACAGCCTCAGGGAATGCTAAAAATGTGGGATTAAAGTATGAAACATTTCAAAAGGACTGTGGAGGTTTGATTTTAAGTCCGGAAGTGCGCACTGTACTCAATCAGGGGGTCTGACCAGCGCAGAATAATTAAGTTCTCTGGAAGAGACAAATAAGAGCCTTTTATTTGGTCAATTTGAGTAAACTATAGCACAAACTTCAAGTCGCTGAAAATGAGTTAGAATCACTAATGCAAACTCACTAGACAGTTTTTATCCGGAGTTTTAGCATTTGTTGAAAAAGAGAGATCCGCAGTGACAGCAAGCTTGCCGCGAACGAAAAGCGTGCGCTCACAATACTATCCGACAATTGATCGCCACACGATAGGAAAATATTTTAATGAAGCAATCTGCATTTGAATAGCTGAAGTACCATAAACAAAAAACGAAATATAAAAAGATCAGTATCTTTGAATTCTTCAGATCCCTGTGGAAGCAAGTCCATTGTTCCAACACTTTTCTTCTCTCCTCGTAGTTTGGAGAGCGCTTGTAGTAACACTGGATATTGTGCTAAAGTCATAGCAGTGACGATTCAATAAAACGACAACGGTTAGCTAGATTACGAGGAAGAACATCTAATAAAACAATAACGGAAAGAAACTGCTTTGCAAAGGTTAACAGTGACTACCAATTTGCAATGTCATAAAACATTAGAGGTGAAATGTATCTACAATAAGGAATGTTGTGGCTACTGCTTCACCCATATGATGAAACTAACTCGTAAACGATCTGTTTCATTCGGAGAATGATCCTTATGCAGGCTGGAACTTCAGAGTAAACGGTAATTTGAATCGTCTCGTTCAACTTTTGTTTGAGTCGTGTTTCAATCGCTACACATGGCACTCTTCACGACAAGAATTCTGAACAAACATTTCATTTCAGCTCAACTATGTTTTTGCATTTCTGGCGTCTCCCATTTTAAGTTTGTCCAATTGGAGGGGTCCTTGGTGAATTCTCCCCAAATTGGTCTGATGCCGTGATCGATAGCTTAAAATTGGAACATCGATAAAACAAAACAATTTTGCAAGGACTGTGATGGGAAATGAAGGAGTGGTAGAAGTAAAGTGAGGCCCTTTGTGCGGAGATAAAGCCGCCATTAAAGTGCGGTAAAATACCACGGAAATTCTGTGTTCTGGATTCGACGGAATGCGGGAACAAATCTAAAGAAACGCCGCCATAGAGAAGAGTGCACTATTTGCCATGTGTCTACTTTTAAAGTTAATAAAGTTTAATTAAATGCAGAGGGTTTGTCTTTGTTTGTGTTTCACTCTATGGATACCAAAATGATACAGACAGTGACATACGATAATGAAAGAAAGTCATTTGAATAAAATAAGGATTTCAACCCTTTCTTTTAGTAAACATTAAACTGACATGTTACTTTGCTTTACCATTAATTACACTTGCGATAATTTCTATTCATGAGGGATCGAATTCTGGTATTCGATGCACAACTTATTGATGTAATGTGAATTGCTTGCGAGACACGCCTACACAAGAGATTTCTGCGTGCAAAATTTTGCTGTATACGTGGGAACCCATTCGAAATTAGATGGCCTTGCTAATTTCAGATCGAAAAAACAAATACAGTCTAGCCACTGTTTGGACAAACCTTTCTGGCTAGTAGACAATAACGTAGATTTCTTACATTAAGAAATGGCTTGATTTACTTTCAGCAAGCAATGTTGACAAGAATCTGGAAGTCTACGAGGCAATAATTAAAATCTTTTTCTTGATTGGCCGAACAACAAGACTGAACATTGCCGCAAATTAACGACTCATTACTTTTAGCAGTTTTAGCGAAGTCTGAGCCAAAGTGGCAGTTAACCTCTCGCATTTTGAAAGTCTCCGACTCATTAGCAAAGGAAATGCACGGGTGATAAAATTTTTCGAATGCCTATTAATCGAAGCTAAAGCATTTTTTCGGGTAGGAAAAAAGCGAGCAATGTAGGCAGGTGTACGAGGTCAGGAAGTTGTTCAATAACACACCCTCGACACGCCAGTCATTCAGATGAGCCAATCAGAAGAGGGTGCGTCATAGTCACATTGAAATACTGAGGACAAAATTGCCAGTGTCAGTTAAACATGTTGTTGAAGAAACGAACACTTTAGCGGAAGAAACGTCGTCGCTTATAATTTTCCTTAAAGCTGAACCTTTAGCCCCAGGGCATACTTCGAACAACCACACGATTGGCGAACTTTGCATGCAATGGAAATTGCAAACTGTACCTTTTTCTGTCATTTCATTTTACTACTTGGCGTGATACAGTTCAAGCCGTCACTCTCGTGCGGCTCCAGGAACGGTTATGGAGGAAAAGGCCCGAGAAAACCTCTTATGCTAACGCAGAGCATTCCTGACACTAGTGAATTCAGTCAACAAGCCAGTGGACCAGCTAAGGGGAAGATATCTAGAAATTCGCCGGAGTTCGAAAAACTTGAGCCGTGTTATAATAACGGCATAATCTTTCGCGACGAAGAGGGAACTGGCGCAGATCGCTTGATGTCGAAGGTAGGAGTGCTTTCGTTTGTTTACTTTTTATATCTTACCTTTCATCACTTTAAATGCACAGCATGTAACTTCTTGTGAGGTTTATGTACACTAGATAGGTCAGCGTGCGGGGCGCGATGTCCATTCATTCATAGATTCACAACAACCATCGTAAAAAAATGCGCGAACTTCCCTCATGTTGTCGATTTTTTTTCATTAGCGATGCAAAGAGAAATTGACAACGTTGGCGGGTTTAGTGAAAGGAGAGTGGCCCTCCGTAAAGCTCGTGGTGACCGAGGCTTGGGACGAACAAGACCAGCACTCGCCAAATTCGCTGCATTATGAAGGGCGAGCTGTCGACCTACGTTTGTCCGACCGGGACAAAACGAAAATCGGTCTTTTGGGACGACTTGCTGTCGAGGCTGGCTTTGACTGGGTTTTGTACGAAAGCAGATCACATATTCACGCTTCTGTTCGCGAAGGTAAATACTCTTAATTTAATTCATGAGAGCTTAAGTTAACGATTTCGGAATGCCAGCTTTTTCATTTATTTTTGACTATGTAGCAATGAGAATGTAGCATTTTGTAATATAATTCTCCAGTGATCTGCCCGCGCACATTTCAAATTTCAGCTTACCTCGCGAAATCCTCTTTGAAGGGCGTGCGAGTGTTGTTTTGAATTGGTTTGCAGGAGTAATAACTTTTGTACCGCCCCTACGGTAACACGCAAATCCAATTTTAGAAATACAAAGGAAGCATGTTAAGTCATTCCGGTCTCAGCAACAAAGGTTATTTTTCTTTGCCAATCCTGCGAAATTCCGCCATTCACCAAAACAAACTTTCGTCCGCGTGTTACATTACAAAAGATGAAGCAGTAATTGATGGTCTGTTAATAATCTTTCAAGACAGAAACTATATTAATGTAAAATTGTATTTTTTCTGCCGTGTTTTAGATGGTTTTTCCGACAAACCGTGGGATGGCTGTTTCAGCTCCGATTCGACAGTCAAACTAGAAAACGGTGTTGATCTACAGGTCAGAAATCTCAAAGTCGGTGATTTTGTGCAAGTTATGACGCAGCAAGGGAAGACTGGCTTCAGCGAAGTGGTGATGTTTGCAGATTACAAGCCCAACATACCACAAGCTTTGCACGTTTTGATCGAGACTGAAAAGCCCGCGAAACATATCACTCTCACGCCTTCACATCTAATCTTCACAAGTAATTCCTCAGGGACACAGCTTCACTCAAAACATGCGGGCAGCGTGCTGCCGGGAGATTTCCTTTTGGTTTCAGCAGACGACGGACTTGTTCCATCGCAGGTAAAGAGGGTTTCTCTTGTTAAACGAACTGGCATGGTTGCCCCGGTTACCATGGAAGGAAATGTAATTGTGGATGGTGTTGTGTCTTCTTGTTACGCCATGATAAGCGATCATGAAATCGCTCACATGGTCTTCGGTCCTTTGAGACTTGTACATAGTTATGCTCCGAGCTTGTGGAACACTGGTGGTTTTCATGTTCAACAAGGGATGCATTGGTATCCCGAGTTACTTATGACAATCAACAAAGCTTTTGGCCTCGTTAAGCTCTCGTGAATTTAATGTGTTGATGATATAATTAATGGCACGACAAATTATATTCTTTCTACTGAAAGATGTTCTTCTTTGACGAGTTTTTTTTAAATAGCTGCTCTACTGAAAACATCAAGAAACTGCTCAATACCTTTGTCATTTCATTTCCATATGTTTAAAAAGCCGTACGAAAAAAAAGAGCATTATTATTTCATGAATTATTGTGTTGAGATGTAGAATTATCGACAAGGTATTCTGCAGTTGTTAAAAGTCTAAAAGAAATCTCCACTTTGATAAAGTCGACTTGGCGGTGTGGAAGATAATTTAGAGTCGCTGTTTCATTTTGTTGTCTTCACCTCGTGACTTTTGTTCAAGAAATTTGCATTATATTTTTGTGTCATAATCCAAGCACTGAAACAGCAGTTTTGCTATCACAGATTTATTTCTTGCGACATTTAAGCGAGGTTTCGTTCATGATAGCAGCATTTCTCTGTTTCCAAAGATTTTTTTATGCCTAAAGATATTGAGTGTCAATGAAATAGCTTAGTGTGTTAAGGAAACTAGGGCACCTCGAACATAAATTAAGATAAATTAACAACTATTTATGCCTCTATTGTACAGTATTACGTAGTTTTGTATGGTATTGTATAAACGGCTGGTCACCGATGTACAGTCAAGAAACTTTTGGTTTAGAGTATGAACTGAAAAACGAAATATTATGAAACAAATATTTGTACAAAGTAATGCCTATAGTAGCAGGAATTATGATTTGTTTTACAATGAAACTAACTCTGAAATATGGAGTGAAGACTCCATGTTCTTTAACTTAATACACATTTTGTAGAGTTGTGGCAATGACAGTTGGAGACTGAGAAAGTCAACTATAAAATCTGATAAAAAAAGTAGAAAAACAGCCGAAAACAAAGAAAGGTTAGAAATATGTGAACGGAAAAAGATTTAACACTATAGACGAGGTGCAGTGTTGTTGTGTCTAGAGAGTTCTGGTAATTCTCGAAGTATTTAGATGTATTATTTTAAAGCCCTTTTCCAGGACAGTGGTGTATTCAGTAAAAAACTGTCCCCTATAATACAGGGCCTACTTTACAAGAGATTCGGTTGAGTCAAAGATTTTCTAGTTTGCACAGAAGGCTCAAATTTAATATATTGTGCAACAGTCTTGTGTACAGAGGGAAGCCTTTCTCATTTTGTAGGTCAAATTCTTTTGATGCTCGGTTCACGAAAGTTTGTTTTCTCGCTCGCAGAGAATTGCCTTTATAAGGTTTGCTTCGTGATACAAGGTATCTAGTGACTTTCAAACCAGGTAGTTATTCCTGGATTGTGAAAACAGGGTGTTACTCGAGAAAAAAAAAAAGTGCAAAAATTACACTCATGATTTAGTAGCAATATTAAAGCAAGTTGCAACGTAAACAGTCATTGTGTTTGTGAAATATCTGTTGTGGGTTGTTCCTGGCTTTCTTCAGCTGCTTCAAGTCATCTGTTTTGAATCTTCTTCACGTCAAATGGAGTAACTGGGTAGGAGAGAAAAATAATCTTAAAATTTGTTTCGGAGTGCTGCGAACCTTGATATGATCAATGGCCTTGCGACACTCGCGACCATGCCATTTTAAGTCATAAAATGGTATCGTCGAAAATCCACGATTTTATGATCAGGATTTTCAATGTATAATGAAGTTCTTCTTGCACTCAGGACGGACAGGGCTTGTAAAATTAAATTAACACATAAAAAAATTTAATCGCGTCACAAGAAAGTCCGTCAGCACTTCGATGCAATTAGACACGAGCCGTCAACATTGTGCAAGTGGGCGTGAATTGTTTGAATTATGTCCCCTCCACGCTCTGTCTTTTGAGTGTTATGATCTGACGACTTCAACACAAATTTTCTTCAGTAAAGTAGTACCACCAAAAACAGTGAGATACTAGGTATTTCTTATTTCACAAAGGAACAAGGAAGCAAATCTCGCACTAAACGCCATCAGTCCTTAATAATTAATTAGCAACTGTGTTTTCAAAACAATATTACACCCAGAGATAATTTGATTATAAACTGCTCTCATAAACAATAGTCGAGTTTATTTCAAGATATCTTCCCTAAATTGATAAAACTGGACTACAAACATCGCACAAAATGCTAGCCTGAATGCTGCAGTAATGGCAATCTTTGTTACAAATTTAAGTTCGCTGTCCAAAAGAAACGGCATACTTTGTCTCCGAGAATGATTTCCTGTGGAACATGTCTTCGAGAGGCGTTAAACGACACGGCATCTGAAGAATCTTTTGACGTTGTATTTAAGGTGTTAAGTGGTTTTTAACGAAACAGATCTTGCGGTTACCTTAAGATCCGCCAATGATAACAGTTGAGCAGTGTCTGAGAACCATCCGACGCGCGCATCCCGCGTAGTCGAAAAGGTGTCAAAATGTGCGGCGAGGTCAGAGCTTCACGCACGGAAATAGAATTAAAAACAACGCAGAAGGAAGGTGTTAACTGTGGTAAACTCACCATGATATTATTTTGAACTCATCTCTGAGGCATTTAGATACTGAAGTTGTCGCTTCGGGTGAGTTTTATTTGCAAAACTCGAGTGCGTGTAAGAAACCACTCGCTTAATGGCAATGATGGCCCGATGCAGAGCAGATTTCACTTCTTAAGGCAGACAGGCGACAAACGATTCCCACAATTAAATGATAAACTAGCAATTATCCGTAAGGGATACTTTACTGATGAAGGCATTGTTCGTGTTCATTAATATCCCGTGGACAGATCGGTTTCACGCAAAAAAAAAAGAAACAAAAAATACATGTTCACTGTGACAAAGTGACCTGTATTTAGGTGTGGGCGAGACTGAATGAGTCTGGCGTAGTATGAGACAAATCTTGATGACAAACAAAACCCCTTACTACACCCACTCGCTCAGTTTGCGACTGAACTGATCGGTCTGGGAAAATCACTCAGAGTCACGGAAGATATTACTCGAGATTGCGACATGTTCTTTAAAATTGAACTCAAACGCTTTTTCCACAAAGAAGAATGGAACCTCAGGGTTAGTGAAGTGAGAAGTGCTTAAAAACTATTAACTAAATAAAAAAAACAGAGAACCTTGAGCAAGTAAAGAGTTGTTTAAAGAAAACTTGAGATACGTTGAGACGACCTTATCTTGAGCCTTGAAATACTTTCCTTAGTTGTTTCGTCGTTTGCAACGAGCTGAATCGACCGCGCAGTCTGCCGATTGTACATGTTGCATTGTTGTCGAACTTGAGCCCTCGCGTGCATCCCACAGCTGATAAAATGTTCTAAAATAAAACTCTTTCATTTACTCCACTAAGTTTTTTGTTTACCTGAAAAAAGGAAGGATCCGAAGACTGAAACACTTCTGAGATGAGTAAAACTGACGGCATCCGAAAGGGAAACAAAAAATGATTAACAAAACTATGACTTGCATCTGTATAACAAGGAGACGTTGGACAAGAAAGCAACGCAAGTTATTAAGTTGATTTGAAGAACAACGTAAAAATGGCATTGAAAGAAGGAAGGAAGCAAAACGAAACGAACAAAGAATTTAGCCAAGGGAAGGGCAGGTTGAGTGTTTCTTTAGTTGTAGCTCGCGTGGAGTAAGAATGAAGACAGATTTGTTGTAAATGCGGAGTAAATCTTTGGTCAGTTATAGAATCGAGATAAGCGCTAAGTTTTATTATTTTTTATTCCAACAGCCGAGTCTGCAGCTAAGCCCTCGAACGGCTTTACTTTATTTATCATTTTATACATCCCTTTGTTTTGAACACGTGGGCCAATTTCCAAAGAAATGCTATATGTCTCGTTTCTTCAGTGCTATGGTCAGATAAAATCTTTTTCATTGCCACAAAAAGTGGTCCGATGTCTGTGGAACGCCTTCTCTTGATATAACACTTAAAGGCGAGATATCACTGCTTATCTTACAACTAGCCGATAACTACAGCTCGCCAGACTCGCTGCTGCCACTGTCGGTAGTAGTGTTATTCATCACACTAGCCAACATGGCGTCCTCAGCTACCCGGCAGCATTGAGTTTTAACACGAAAGTCTTTTGTCAGGTTTTCAAGGAGTTTCTAAATCAGATCAAATTGTACAAAGAAGATTAAATGGTAGCAATTAATTAGGTTAATGTTTCTTTCTAAACAGTCTCCATGCTAAGTGCCGAGTCCCTTTAACAAATGCGAAGAATGTTTTCTCCTGTACATTTGTGAATGTTTCTAAGAGATGCACCATGTCAAAGCACTTCAGTCCATCTCGGTGGTGTGTGAGTTTGTTTTTAACTGAAAAGAAGGATTGTTTTTCAGTCTACGAGCTAGGTTCCAGTTACTTTCTTTGAGCGTTCAAGAGGTGCACGTTCTACATGTCAAACACGCGCCGCGAATATTCGCGAATGTTAAGAAGATTAAAAACAGTTTGGCCTTGAAAATGTTATTACACAGCAAATCTCTTTTTGCATATTGTGGCTGTTGTCATCATTCTATTCCGCGGAAAACCACGTTTAATAACTTTTAGTATAAAGAACGGCTACTAAGATTTCCTCAAGGGGCGATGTAGTTTTTTTCAGTTTAGACTTCCCATTTCAACTGATAAGACTTGACTTCGGCCAAATGGTTAAATTGCTTCATAATGCAACATGCTTGACTAGAAAACACCAGGGTCAAAGTTTTTAAAACAATGGTTCACCTAAATCCGATTTTGTACTCAAACGATCTCAAAGGTGCCGCTTAAGAGTAATTTTGCGTGGGTGAAGAAGCCAAACGGTTTCACTCAAGCAAAGATTACAAGTGTAGGCCGATTATCACGTCCTTTGAGGTTTGAAAGCAGGAAATATTTTGCTACTTATTTAGAAAGCTTGCATGTCTAATCCAGTTATCAAGTGGGATTTGTTTAAAACAGTTAAAATACAACCGAACAACGTTGGAGAATTAAATAGGTTCTAAGCTTTCCTAACAGGGGCTTAGTAATATATGGTATGGAAAAGTAAACCTGCCTTCACTTGAATACATCCAGTTTTACTTAATGTAAATGGGCTTTGCTTCCTCATTTACTGGTCAGCAATTGTTGCCGTTTGTTATTGAGCGTTCTTTGGAAATTTTAATACCAATTGCTTCATGTTTCAACTGTTCTGGGTTCGACGGTTGATGGGTGTCCCTTCTATCACGGGTTCTGTTTAAACCGATTAAGTAATGAAACAAAGTAGAGATTATTACACTTGACTAAAAAAGTCTGAATAGAAATATATTTAAGACAGTTGAATGAAAGCCAAATTGCCATGTTCAGCTGGAAAGCATTTTTTAAACTGGCTTAAAATCCTCTTGCTACATGTAAAAGCGATAGCTGCCGACACAGTTTAGTTCCAGTTTGCTTAAACATTGATTAAAAATGCCCCGCAGTCTTCAAAAGCGTTTGTTCCCACGAAAAACGCGTTTTAACAAAGAAAAAAAAAAAAAAGGCTTGTATATGCCCTCAACGGGTCAATGACTGTCTTTAGTACGGGTGAAAAACTAAAGACAAGTATAATACTTTTATCATATTTTGTTATTTGATTTCTACAAAACTTTAAATTCCTGTCCAAACTGATATAATAATTCCATTAGGAGTCGACAAAAATCAATCTTAGACTGAGTTTGGTGCATCATACCAAAAAAGACAAAATCAATTATGTCATTTATTCCTTTCACGACTGGGGTTTTCATTGCGATATTCCATCCTCATAAGTTCAGTGTTCATTATTTTTTCTTGTCCTCGTGGACATGACGCACGCAGGCTAAATTGAATGTGTAAGAGGAAAGTTGTGTACAATGGCGGGAAGATTTTAGCTGGATGTGAGTGGGTAGAGAGCATGAACTAAGCAGGGCATAAATATTCCCTCAGCATGTCTGAGCCACGGTGTAGACACGCTCATATGCTAAATACCTTGTTTTCTGCCTGGATGGTATCGAAGTCTCTTCAGCTGGGCACGCACGTTGCGTTTTGCTAGTTTCAATTATGTAAACAAGTTAGTACAGGAGTAACTGAAAATCATTGAACTCTCGACTTTTATTTGAACTTCACCTACTGTCCACAATATGTGCCGATGGGCAGAATTTTGCAGTCGATTAAAGTTTACAAGACAGATAGCAGTTTTGTAGTACAGTTGTTAACAAGGAACTTTAAGGTCTAAACCTAAATCATCTGTTTCGTTTAGTTTTTCATCAAAATTCAGAAGTACAGACGTCACAGCACTTAAGATATAACTAAAGATAATTTGGAAGGGGAGGGGGGAATTCAAACAGATGTGATTGTGGATTTTAGAAATTGTACAAGCAGGAAGAGGCATGAGCGATGAGTTTTGATCCAAATTGCTCCAATGAGCAACAAATATAAAACATGATCCTTCGCCACTGGCAACTTAGAACGTTTTGTAACTTAAATTTCAACCGTTTAGCATGGCTTACACACAACTTAAAGAACTTCTGCAAATCTTCTATAACTGAAGTGGGTGAAAACTCTAAACAACACGAGCACAGAATGAGTCACATGACCTGTTTATAGCTTAGCTTCAAACCTCGTCAAACAACGAAATTTCGCTGGGCTATAGCGTGTGGTAAAGAAACTTTAACCGCTTAAAATATGACATAAGATTGATTTCAAGCAAAACACAACTGAAAAGGTCTTGTCAATGCTTATGATACCACTAAAATTCCTTCTAACAGCCTAGTGGATAATTTACGTATTTCATGGTACATTAGACCTGTATCATAACTATCTCTTTTGTACGTTTGCTCGACATGATAAGCGGTTAAACGAGAAATCCACCAGCTTTAGTCGCGTGACTAATTGCCACGTGGTAAATTTCCTGAACAAACCACGAGCTTTTACCGCCTGTCACAGTCGCGTGGCGGAATTCAATGAGCGTTTTGAAAATGTGTGGGAGGTTTCCTTCCTGCTGCCGTCATACGCTAACAGCTTTATTAGACTCCTGTCGAGTAAGCAGATATTTTTAATTGTACAACAAGCGACTTCCTTCTGGCGCGTGATTTATTTTGTCAGTGGGAGCGTTTTTCTCAGCGAGAAAAAGCTTGCACGCTGTATTTGGTGGAAGTCTTTCTTTCGAATAGTAAAGAATTTCGGCCATAGTTAATCACTGTCAGGTCGAAAACAAAGAATAGAAGGTCTGCATGCGACAGGTATTTTCTGTCTTAACATGCTCTGAAAACCGGAGAATTGACTCTTTTTCTAGTTCATCTTGTTTCAGATTTTTTCTCTGAGTGGGAAAAACTGCAACTGAGCAGTAAATAAAGGAGACTGCAAGTTTGGCGGGATCTTACCGCAGAAAAAGGTGGCAACCTCGTTCCCAGGGAAAAGCCCTGGAAATGAGGTTGCTCCAATTGCTTTTGGGAAGAATTTCACCTCTTACCTTTCTTGGCGAAGCTAACAGCATTAAGTCTAACTTAGGAAAATATCGACTATTTGGTAAATCGGAGAAATAGAAGAAAAGAGGAGTAATATGTGATAATCAATTTATTCTCGTTTTATTGATTTTAAACTCGTGTTTCCTTTTACTTCTCTTCAGTCCAGGGCATTAGACATTAGAAAGCCTTACTGTTAAAGAGTATTGATATGTTGCACCAACTCAGAATGACACAGAAGAAAACATTCCCCTAGTAATTGTCAATGGGCTTTCATTTATCTTTTTTCTTAGGCTTAGTTAATAAGTCTGTGGCTGAAACCTTAGTGTGTAACCATTCAAATGAAAGCCATTCTGAACAGTACTTTAAGGGGTTGTTTATCTGATGCTATATAGGGAAGTTGGTTCTGTGGACATCGATATGTTGAAGTGCAAGTGACAGCTTTTGCTTGGCAGTCCTCTCTTTTGATATTGTTCGTTTTATTCTTATTTTCTTAGTGGAATTTTTGGAGCTTTATTCAAGTCAACTTACGGATACCCTGAGACGGATAATTAGTTCACAAAAGTGCATCAGCATTCAAATGTTTGTATAGAAAACTATTGTGTGAATCCAAAGAAAGTTCTTACTTCGACAAGCGGCTCTAACAAACACTCTAGACATCAGCCACTTAGCAGCATCAAAAGCCAGTTCTCGAAGCATTACTTTTAAGTGTAATGTCAACATAGTGATTCTCTTTGTAATTGTCTTTGCCACCTTCAATGGAAAAGCCCTGGGGACGAGGTTGCTGGTGGGGAGAATTTGCACAAACTCTCTCTTCCCTCTAGCTAGACGTCACAATAAAATGTCAAACGGGTTTGCAGGATAAGGGCCGGGGGGCACCACCACTTTTAGTCTAGGGAATTGAAAGTCTGCCATTGGATGTCTTTTATGCCACAAATGGTCGCTAAGTATTTGTAAAAAGGGAGCATTAGAAAATTTATTTGCAGGGTGGGCCACATTGGCGGATCTAGGGGAGGGACCCGGGCCCCCTGCGCCCTCTTTATTTTGGGTGAAAAAAAAGAATCGAAGGAGGAAGAAAAGCCGGCAGGGCAAGCAAAAAAGCCGCCGCCCCCCTTAGTTCAAGGTCTGGATCCGCCACTGGGCTAACGCCCTTTCTCTTCTTGGCACCCCAGTCAGGTGTAGCAACCTCTTGTTTCTGGACCACGATCAGTCCTCAAAGATTTGCTCGAGTTCGCAACGAAGAAAAGCCACTTCATTTTCGATGGTCAATATTATGACCAGATCGATGGTGTCGCTATGGCCTATGGGGTCTCTATGAGGCCCTGTCTTAGCTAACATTTTTGTGTCACTTTGAGGAGAGCTGGTTGGCTAATAATGAGTCCCGACCGTCCATTTGGTTTAGATACGTTACGTTCTAATTCACTTCCTTCGAACGAACGTAAATTACTTACCACTTAAATATCCGCAAAAACTGGTACAACGAAGCATGGGTGGATCGCACGCGGACCCTAACACTTTTATTACCCTTTTTAAGATACATTTCAAGAGAATAATATAATCGGCTACACCGTGGTTCTAAGAAGTACAAGTCCTTTAGCCTCGTCACTTTTCCAGCGCCCATGAAGCTTTAACAATCTCTCAGAAACGTTATGCGAGAGGTCGTTACTATAGAGGTTACCCCACCAGAATGTAAACTATGGAGGCCTTAATCTTTGGGACCATAGCCCACATCCTTTAAAGCGTCCTTGAATATCTCCCTACAACGAGTGTTTGATAATTTGGCATTCCTAAGGGTATACCCTAACTTCTTCTTCGTTAATGGCCTGAACAAGGGCAACTGATTAGATAGGTCAATATCGGCTACTTGGATATGCCTACGCAATACCGCCACAGGACGATAATTACTCTCTAACTTAGAAATATACACATAGTTCCCCCTATACACATCTGTTTTACTCTTTGGTACAAATACTTTAAAAACCTCATCGTGAAAGAATATGTGGTTGGGCTGAATGTTACCTAATTCCGTCAATAAAACGAAAAAATCCAGCAAAGCTTGAGGAGGTTACTGCCGCAATAGGTGAGTCCTTCAGCAATGCACCATCAGCACCAAATCTGTTGATAATTCTTTTAACGACGTCAGCATCAACGGGTTTTTTCTCGCTAACTGAAAGGCTACTTGTTCTCCTGGCATACGCAATCATGCTTCTGCAGCAGGCGTTGTCCAAAGGATTAGGGCCGTCTCAGGAGTGAAAGAATGTAGCCATTTAACCGCGGCATGGAGCAACACCATTGAGGCAGGGGATCTAAGCTGTTGATCTAAGTTAGATAAATAAAGGGCGACCACGGGGACACAAAAAGGTATCTGAACAGAAATCTGTCTACTCTTACACCACATGAAAAACTTTTTAATTTCTTTGATGTACTTTTTCGCAGTAGGATTAGCCCTGGAGTTAAGCAAGACACAAAATAAGGAATTGCGGTAAGGCCTAAGAGCAGAAGGGAGTTACGTCCAAACTTTACTTGCAATTACGACCTGCAAGAAAAATTATAAATATAAAGTTTTATAACAAAGGAAAAGGAAAGGAAAATAATACTTGAGTCAAACGACCTAACAAATAAAACACCTAAAATACATACCAAAAGAAAAACTATAAACTCTATAATATCGTAATGTAACGGCGCTGGGCATAAATTGACCACGCCTAAAACTCCTGACCCAAAAACAAATGCCCGACGGTCGCAGGGATAGACAAACCTGACAAAACATGGAGGCTATAGAAAAGGCGTGCAAAAGAAGCAACATTTATAACGCTTAACTAATAGCGTGGCGAGAAAGGCTAGCAAAATTTTACACATGTTCGGCCACATTGTCTAACACACAGCGGATTCAAAGTCAGCTCGTGAACATAAAACGGACGGACACGGCTGCCCTGCACTAAGCTTCGTGCAATATGCGAGGGATAAATCAGACCCTCTTGGCCCCTTTGGCACACTCAAGTGCTTCAGCTCACATTCCTGTGAGCAATTTCCGCTGCATATGACCATTGTCATTTCTCTAAACACATCCATCCTCCTCATGACCAGTGTCACATGACTCTTGAAAATCGAACCACAGTAACCCTTTAAGTCAGCTTTCAAATAAACGAAACGCGCGAGAATTTCTTTACAAATAATCCAGTGTAAGGGCGACAACGTTGCCTGTAAAATGTACGGAGCCCAGGAACGAATTCAAATTTCTTTCTAAAGTGAGACCCTCCGTTCCATTCTGTAGGAAACAACCTTTCATGAACCGCTTGTATTTACTTGTAAGTAGAGGCCAGAAACTGGACAAAGGCCATAGTGGTATCACGATGGTAGCCCTCCCCTTCAGGAGACTCAGATAATGGAGGGCATGAGCAACAAGGGGTACCGGAGAAACCACTAAAGAGCTCTCAGACTCTAGATTTTGAGCAAAAAAGTCCACCCCTGATGTCGCCGGGTTCCAAACACGGGAAATGAATCTTGGTAGTTTCGCTGTATAAAAGTTAGCAAAACAGTTACCTGTGTGCGGACCCCATAACTCTTCTAAACGGAGAAAAAATTCCGGAGTAATCTGCCAATCATCAAAGTCAATAAGACGACTGATATAATCTGCTTTCTCATTTTCCGTTCGCAGGATCTACTGGATCTCCAAACGAATATCATGCTCAGCGCAAAACTGGAAAAGTTTGACAGCTAGTCTATGCAGATCTAACTTAATACTTCCCTCTTCGACAATTTTCGCAGCCTACTGACTATCCGTAAACCACTTGACGAGGGAACCCTCCAGAACTGGGGCAAATGATTAGAGAGAAAAATCAGTGGCGGCAAGCTCTCTCCGAATAGAACGTTTGAAGCATTCGGATGGTTCCCAAAGTCTATGACGATATGCTCCTCGTTAAGGGTGAGGACTGAACCACACCCAGTAGCACTCGCATCGGAATAAACGAAAAGCTTAGGCTTATGATTGAGGAAACAATCCTGAACCTGGAGGGAATTAAAAATTTGTTCTTCAAAAGCCCAACTCTTCATTGCAATACTGATCTAATTCAATTTTCTCCTTCCAATGCTGGACACTTAATGTAGACAAAACGTAGTGCCTAGTCAAGATTCTGGAGATACTCCCGGAAACTGACTGGTGATGTAGAAATAATTTGCCCCGTGAATGACGTTAATTTTCTAGCAGAAATAACGAAGCCAGAGTCAACAATACTGTTAATAGTGCTGGGTATTTTGGCAACCTCCTATCGACGATTTCAATGGTTCCGCGAGCACTGTCCCATGTTAGACCCAACCAATCGATTCGTTGGTAAGGTTCCCATATTTATTTCTCGTCATTTGTCATATAACCTGCCTCACCAAGATCAGTTTTTACTGTTTTAACTATGCTACTACACGCTTGGCGATCTCTTTCTATGGCCCAGCCATCATCAAGAAAAATAGCAATGCATATGCCCCAATGTCTCCGATGTTTTTCCAAAGTCTTAAGCGTTTTGGTGAAAATGTGAGGCGCAGACGATAAACCAAAAGGCAAAACTGTAGACACGTAAAACTTTGTGAAATTAGAGCTACCATGCTTCCAAGAGAAACCGAGGTAGGTCCGCCCTTCAGAGAAAACATAAAATCTTCTATCATAAAGTGGGACAATACAATTTTCCCGTCTTCATATTTGACGCGCATCTTTCTCAGACGCTAATTAATGTATCTTAAATCAATAATGAGCCTCTTTTCGCCAGTGACTTGAACGGAAACTGACAAGGGATTGACCACCAACGGAGGTACGACAACTTCAAGAACACGACCCGACTCAACTAGTTCACGTATAGCATCCTCAACAAATTCAGCATCGGCAAGGGATGATCTGTCGTTTTTAACTCCTGCAGTTTCAGGAAGACTAAGCAAAGGTAGCATGTATCCTCTCTCTACAAAATTAAGAATAAATTTCGAAGTTCCAATGCGTTTCCAAAATTCTAGTTTTCTTCGAAGATTTCTTTTAACATTTACAGGTGGCGGATGGTCAGTCAACTCAAACTCAAACAATTCGCTTTCACAATGTACCTGTGCAATATCCGAAACTTCCTCTTCAAACACCTCACTGCTTAGGACCGAGGTGGGGTTGTATTCCATTTCTGGGGCTCGACCAAGCGCTGGTACAGTCTCTTGCCCAATAGTCGAGCTTAAAGCATCTGAAACATCGTGCGCGATCCATGTAAGCCTCTCTGCCGCCTGGAAATAAATGAAAACAAAGGCAGTATCAGGCAATGGATAAACAACAACAGATTAAAGGAACATATCTGAAAGAGGGTGGGCGGGCGAGTTATACTCGTGCATAACAGAGAACGTGACCGGCTCGAAGGAGGGTAGGAGGGTAGGGTTGCAAGCGAAAGAGATTGAACGAAACTGCCGTAAAGTATAAATAGAAAGAAAAGACCAATCCTCCAACACCTAACACAGAAAATCCAGTGAGGAATGTGACGCTAAAATACCAGCGGAAAATGCATGCACCTGATCACATTTGCCTTGCTTTCACATTTGCCGTCCAGTAATGACTAGCCGGCCCTAGACTGGGAACGATTCACCGACCGTTACGACAATTCGCGGAGCCATACATGACGCAAATAATGGTCAAATCAAGATGGCGGCAACAGTTCGGAGAGAAACATCTTGGAGGCGTCGTTGGAAACCAGATCTTAACTCTCAACCATGGAAACCCTTTTTCATATCAGACAAAAGTTTTCTAGTCAAGTCGATGTTCGTGGAGATGGACAGCTCCTATGAATTTTGCTTGTGGGATTCCAGCACTTTCTGGCATGAGAAAGTTGAACAAGACATCTTCAAGCGACGAACAAAGGTCAGTAGAAAATTACTGGTTGTTTTTATTCCTGGATTTCCCATAAAATGATTTTTGATGAACGGGAAGGGAGATTAAGAGACTTTTGTTATTGCCCAATACTCTGCCACTACAATTCTTTTCTATATACATTTCGCCGATAAAAGCGGGCATGTAGCCACAGCGAAAAGTAAAATATAACGTTTTAACGTTTTAAAAATAACGTTTTCGATCTGTTTGATCATCACTCTGATGATGATCAAACAGATCGAAAACGCTTAGACTCATAATTTTAACAGCTTTTTACCTTAAAGTTTTATATTTTAATTCTTTTCTAGTTTACGGAAAGGGGATATTTCTATAGCTAGGATATTTTCTCGTACAGCTTGGTTATATGTCACGAGTTAAGTTTTAATTTAAGCTCAAATAGATTGTTCAGATATTTTCAGGAATGATCATTCTAATCTCGGGCAGATCCTTGGACATTTGTGGGTTTGGAAGATCTTTCAGAAAACTCGACGCCCCAATACTCTGTAGACTGGTTTCCGTTGTGCTCGTAACAATATTGTTTTTTCCCAGAATACACACGAGACCCAAATCGCATTTCTTAATTATCAGTTTGTGATTTTCAGGAGTTTGAGTTAGAATTTCATGTTAGAGTTAGAGTTTTATGAAAGACATATTTGATCTATTGTCTGAGAAGCTTATCATTTTCAGTATGTCCTCTATCAGGGAGAGAAATTTTATATCCACTTGCAACTTAAAAGATTAGAGCATAACTTACTATAGCGTGAAATTGTATTGAATACGTTTCATAGCTGTTTGATAACCTTTTTTCACAGTTAACTTTACTCATTTGCATTACAAGATAATCCAGCATATGTGTAAGGCAATATTTGTAGTTTCTGCCCGAAATTGCCTCGCCTCCATGTTAGATTACATTGTAATGCAAAGAGGAAAAATTAATCTTTAAACGGGCTATTGTTTTATTGCACTTATGATTGGACATAATATTTATCATTATTCTAAAGTCTAGCCCAGTTCCACATGTGCTTGCATCAGGTATCTGTGGGACAGTATGTTACCCTTACTTAACTATGCTTGAACTAACTGGAATACTAATCAGGCTAATAAGAATGCTAATTAACTGAGCTGGGATGCCACAGGGTAATCTTTGCTGACATCATTGTTGACATAAAGAAGACATAAAGAACACATCATGTCAGATATGAATTAACTTTTACATGGTGAAGTTTTAAGCTCTTTTGATCCATTATTGAAGGAGATAGTGGTTTTAAGAAACTGCAGAATTTCTGGGTGGCAAAAGTGTTAATGGGCCCATACATTCTTTGTGAAATTTTGAGTTTTTAAATCTACATTTCACCATAAAGCTGAAATCATACACAGGTCTATATTGCTTGAAATGGTTTGACAGCATTCCCTTTGCTTTCTGAGAAAATGGGAAAAATGGGAAAATGGGAGAAGTTGCCAGAATTGCTGAAAGTAATGACTTGTTAGTATCCCACTAGCACTTTTTGGGCAAGTTGTAAATGTTGTTGTCATATGACAAATTTTTTTTTAAAAAATGCACTGTTTTTTTTTTTTTCTCAGTAGGAGCTAAATCCAAATGTTGAGGCGAAACTGTCATACTTACTGAAATTTGTACAGAAAAGTGTAGAAGAATGCAATCAAAAGGAAGAATCAACATTTACAATAAATGAGGTTGGACTACAAAATGATTTTTCTGAACATCCTTGTAAGGTGATTTACAAAATATTATTTTATAAAAATTCATTACAATAAAGATTTTTAACTGGGTGCTGTTACATTTGGTAGGAGGCTGATGATCAATTGATTGTGAAAATGAAGACAAAGCTACAGGCAGGTGTGCCATTTGTTTGGGAGTTCCACTGTTCAGTCGGACAAAAGGACATGGTATGTAATAGGTAAATGAACAAACATGCAAGAACATGCAAGCTCCTTTTTATTACACTCAGGTATGTAGTGTCGAGGTTAAGTCTGTATATGAGCCAAGTGACCCATCAGACTGGAGCTTATCCCAGTTTCTGTAGCATGAAGTGATTAGGAGTATTTCTACTCCCCCCTGAATGGGATGCTTGTCCATTGCAGGGTTACCCCCCCAGCATCAAGTTTATACACGTGGGCGGAGAAAGGCACTGTCAGAGTAAAGTGTCTTGCCCAAGAACACAACACAATGTCCCCCAGCCAGGGCTTGAGGCCCACTTATAAAACCAAAGCAAATAAATCTCTTCTCATTGTGTTCATCTGTGCTGTATTCTAGTCCAATTACATTTTGATCAGCAATAGTTTTGTTTGTTGTCAAGGTTGGATCACAGCTGGTTCAGCCAATGTTAGCCATGATTAACGAGTTACAGAGACGTCAAACTGAGCTGTGCGTTCTGCTGAGGAAGAAAGATCTGGAGATTTTGGATTATAAGGGTTCAGGAGTTCGCTTGTCAAGAAGTACAGTCTATGTCACATTGATTTTTTATTAATGAAACGGTTGGCACAATTGTAGAGCACACTTCTAGCTCAACTTTCGTTTTCCCAGAGTACCAAAATTGCCGATATGTACTGCACATTGCACCTAATAGTCACTCGTAATTTTGAACTGTAGAATTATCTCTCACTTCGCCTCCTTGCCCAGAGGCTAACAACTAACACTTCCATAGGTAAAGGTAAAGTCTGCATACGAGCCAAGTAGCCCATCAGGCTGGAGCTCATCCTGGTTTCCCTAGCACAAAGTGACTAGGAGTATTTTTACTCCTCCCTGGACAGGATGCTACTCCATCACTGGGTTACCCCCAACATTAAGTTCTCCAGTACCCATTTATACACCTGGGTGGAGAAAGACACTGCAAGAGTAAAGTGTCTTGCCCAAGAACACAGTGCAATGTCCCCAGGCAGGGCTTGAACCCCGATGAATGACTAGACACTGAAACTGGACAGTTCAATAACCATAGTATGAATTTGTCCTTGTCCAATTTGGAAAGAATTGAATTAAAACGAAATTCCTCTGACTGCCAAATTGGGCTTCGTCTGCAGACCGTAGTCTAATTTAGCGGTCATCAGAATTTTATTCATCCAGTTTTTTCCAAATTGTACAGCATTTGATCCTATAACATATACTAATATTTTAATACTCTTTGTTTCAGAAAGCCTTGGAACTACTGAGTTTGATGAAAACTCCTTCAAAAGCAAAATGATTCTTTCAGCGGTATGTCAGTTTAGTTGTTGAGTACTATTCATGCAAGAGCTCAATTTGCTTTTTTATTCACAAGATATGGTATTAAAAGTTAGCAAATAAAAATGACATTAAGCTCTTGTTTTAAAAGAAGAAAATAAACGATAAAATACGTTGAAAAATGCTAAATCATGTACTACAGAATTACAATTGAATTTCAGTTTTTCATGGCGTCTGATTGGATCATGGAATCCTTTGTGTAGACATCCGAAGATGTTTGCAAAATTTTCGGATAATACTTGGTTATCTTCGGATGTCTTCGGTCAAGCGTCAGCAATCTTTAGAACAGTATCACTTTACTTGAGACCAGTGTGAATTTTATTCGCGGATTAAACACATCTGTTAAAAAGCTTACTAAGTAATAAACGTGAAATGTTGGCTAATTATTTTGTGGGACACCTCGTAGATTTGTACATTGCGTTATGCATAGACCCTTTTCATAAATGTGCCTAAATTTGAATAACAATACTTATATATTCATGCGAAAAATCTTTTGTTTGCAAGCATAAGTACGAGGCGAAGGAGTAAGGATGTACAAAGTATTGTCATTCAAATTTAGGCACCATTTTTTCAAAGTTTCTATCGCTATTCAAAACGAGGTTTTTCATTATCAGTGAGTCGAAAGTACTTGTTTGCCGCGCTCTGTGATTTCTAGAAATAACGTCATAAAGAGCTCTAACCAATCAGGAGAAACTTGCTGTTTATAAGCCAATCAGGAGTCGAAAAATAATTGCGTCTGGAGATACACCCGTTTTCCCGCGTTCAGCGTCGTTTGCAAGTTTTTTTAGTTTGCCTCAAGGTCTTATTAGTTCGTAGATCTTAAACAGTTTAATGTGAAGTGTCATGAACAAACTGTTTTAACTCCAGCCTGGCTGGGTTCGCTGTGTTAAACTCTTGGGCAAGGCAATATTTCTCCTTTTTCCCCAGAGGGCTATGGGCCATATATTTAGGTATCCCATGTGAATCATAGGGCAAACTTGGCTCATATATTGTGAGTTAACTACGTTAAACTAGCATTCCACACAGGGGAAATAAACATTTATAAAATTGCAGTATTCAGAGAGGAAGCCACATCGGATTTAGCTGATTTTCATGCGGGGTCGAATTGGAATTTGGAAGTGTTGGTTTTTGTGGAGGAAGGAAAACCGGAGAACCCGGAGAACACCCCTCGGTGCGACGAGCGACGAGCGACGAGCGACGAGTGGGGTCTGGTAGAGAGAAAGGGTAGGTCACGCGCCCGTCCGCCCGCGCCTTCTCATTTTTCTCTTCCAGACCTCGCTCGTCGCGCGCTCGCTTTTTCGATCGTCCCCACTGACCGAGAGCCTGGAACAAATAAACTCAGTCCACATATGGCACCAGGACGAAATCGAATTGGGGTCATTGGTTAGGGTTGAACGCTCTCACCGCTACGACAAAATTCTTAACGAGCCATACCGTATTTGGGGTATCCTGAAGAGCGAGTCAAATTACAAATGGCTAGTGCAGAAAAAAAATGTCGAAGGCAAACTCGCTGATCTAATGATAAAACAGTTGAAGAATTCGATTGTAATTATGATTTGCGTAGTTGTGATTAGGTTGGTTTTGGTTTCACAACATTCAAACGTTAAAAAACTCCTTGAAATCAGCTATGTCAGCCCTTTCCAACGACAGGAAATTATCAAATGAATAACGTATAATTAAGATTACGTTTCTAATGCAAGAGAGTATGTGAAAGGCCTTAAATTTCACATCTTCTACATAGTCACTTGCATACTTCACTATCTACGGGTACATTACGAACAACGTGACCAGCTCTCAGTTAGCATCCGTATCGCATAGGTCATGGGTTCGAATCCCGTTCAAGCTTCAATTTTTGTGGAGGC